AAAAACGAATAAATACACGTATAATTTTTTAGTAAACAAAATGATGGGACTCATGAGAGTTTTACATGTGTACTAAAGTACCTGGTCCATGATCATCTCGATTGACAAGCTCTGTGGCACAACAAATGACTGGTGATAGATATACGCAAAAACAGCCATCACCATCTGCAAAATAAGTGATTTTTCAGAAAACCATAGCCAGAATGCAAAGGCCATTCAGAACAATATTATTATGAAGTTCCTTCAGGCATTTTAACTTAAAAACAAATATTAGACATCATGTTCAGCAGAAAAAATAAAAATAAAAATAAAAAAACGAAATGGTCAAAAAATGTCGGGCCACACAATAGTGACTAGCCATTTATGTAAATACATCCATGCAGTTCATGCTAAAACTTGAAAAATAAGTAAATTTTTAACCTGACAATCCATTCTATCAGTGATGCCACCGTGTCCAGGAATGCTATCACCAAAATCCTACAAGAATTTAAAATACATAAAAAAAATAATAATAATAGAATATCGTAATATAACTTGCAAATAGGAACAATACTTGCAGAGTGACAAAAGAAGAATTGCCGAGAGTAAAGTTTAAAGCTTGGATGTATGATGATATCAACAAACCTTGATCTTAAAAGCTCTCTTAAAGCCACTGGCAAAAAACCCTCCGAAAGGCGCAATAATTGATGCGAAAAGACCAAGACACAATGCATGCCACTGTACAGGCAAAACAGATACCTCTCTCCATGGGAACTGCAAAAAGTCAAAGTACATTGTAGCTCATAAGTAACCATTTTCTAATCGGCAAAATAATAAATTAGAAAGCAAAACCATGCAAAAAAATATTCGAAAGATTCAAGCGGATGACAGTAACAAAGTTTCATATCAGCCTTGCAGAAGTGCCAAACCTCGTTTTTATTGATGGTAAAGATATGCCTCCTAAAAGGTCTTCATCATTATGCCTACTACAGATTTTTTACATTTATTTACTAACATATGCGTTTGTGATGAAAATAGCGATATTTATAACATATGAATGCCTGAAGTTCTAATGAAACAAAGGATGAATGAAAATGATTACTGCAAATATGTAAAAATACAATGAATAGAACATATATAATTCATAACCATGACCACGAGTAGGTAAGGTATATTTAATAAGCATGAACTATCAATGTTTTATTCTCAGGGAGAGAGTATAAAAAAAATAAATTAGTTTTTTAATAGATTTGATTAGTTAAACACTTACCCATTCAGGAAACCACTCGGGGACAGAATAACTTTCTGGTTTAAACAATGGATCAGGGTCACATTGAAGCCAGCCAGTCGATAAATCCTATTCAAGGTCAGAGGAAGATTTGAGCTTCCTAAAATATAAAAAAAATAAAAATATATAAAGTAAAGGAAGAGAGGATATAATTGAGCAATTACCTTTCGTGGGCACGTCAGCCACTGAAAGCGACCCAATATATTTGCCAGCTAATAACAAGTAAAATAAATTCATCAAAAACTTGAAAATGTGCTTTCCAACAAAAACTCAACAATCATTTATTCTCTGTCATCTAATTATCTTGGTTTATATGGAAGTAGATGAATGTACTTCAAAGTTCAAACAATCGAGACAGCTACAAAGATCCCCCACAGCTAATACCTTGGTTTGTCTCAAGTCAAGTTTTTGGCAAGAATATGAACAGCAACGGATCATAATAGACTTTTGATAGCAATAAAATAAAATAAAATAAAATAATAATAATAATAATAATAATAATAATAATAATAATAATAATAATAATAAATAAATAAACTCCCAAACTAGACAAAGGTTGTACATTATCGAAGTCAATGTCCAATAAAAGGATGAATTCTCACCAGAAAAGCCGAAACCATGGTAGCAACAGAAGCTCCAATGAATCCTTCCCATGTTTTCTTTGGCGATAACTTGATAAGAGGTGTTTTGCCAAAGAAAAACCCAAAAATATAAGCAGCAATATCATTTATGACAATGAGTGATGCTGGGAGAAGGAACCTGCATTATTGCCAACCTGAGTTTGAAGTTTGCTCATCCAAGTTCAATGAATATTCTAAATATCCAATTTACCCACCAAAATAAGAACAACAGATTTAAAATAAATCTGAAACAAACTCTATCAAGAATGTTCTCTTAAACGAATCCAGAAAGTCTCAAATGCTCGTAAATTTAAAACTTTCAACATCTTCACTCATGTGTTAAGAAATCGATCAAGGAAGTGGGGACTAATGTCCAAATTGACTAGTGGACTAAAATGAAAAATTTGAAGTCGCCATTACCAGAAAATTCCTTCAAAGATATTTGCCACAGTAAATGACGATTGGGTGAACACCACAATAAGAATCATGTGTGTCCAAGCATACTGCCCAAATTGATACTTGTACATCTTCTTCTTCAGTGTAAGAATGAACCACATGAAACCTGCATTCACCAAGGGAATAAATATTCCCACATTTAGTTCAATGAGCTAATTTTTACACTGTCAGACTGTCTGAATAATAATATGCAAACAACAAGAGACACATCGGAAAAAATCATAGCCATTTTTTGTCATCCTGAGTGTAACAATCATAAAAGATTCACAATACTGCACAGGCAAGATTACCAACCTGCAGTATATAGAGAATAACAAGTAACCATATGATACTTGATAAATTTGCTCACGAGCTTATACAGAACTTTGTCTGCAGTTACAGTGTTCACGAGCCTTTGACTGACAATACGGCCATACACAAACAGCATCGCCGTGAAGAAGAAGTGCCTGACCAAAATAGATGTTCTCATAAACAAACAAAAAAATTACAATATGTATGCACAAGTTTATGCCTTCAATGTCAAAAGCAATCCAACAAGATACAATATATTAGTAACCAGAGTTATTTAAGAAGATATGATGAAGCCAGAGTAAGTGAACAAAAAAAATTACGAGTAACAAAAATTATGTCAACATACCAATTCAGGAGCCTGAATCCTGGGAGTCTTTTGTCTTCATGTGCTTTCCTAAGCAAATTGAACAACTCCTTTGCCATAAAAATTTGGATAACAATTACCATGGCCCAAATATAAAGGTGGCCCATGTATATTACAAACGCAAAGCCTCCAATCATCCAAACAGTTGAATATGTACGGATTAGCATCGACTTGTACTTGTTACGATCATTCGCAAGTAAATGGCTTCCATCAGCTTTCTCAACTTCCTGAGGGACCTAGGGTAGTTGATATCAAAAGGCATAAAAAAAGTTTTTAAAACATAAAACCAAAGTGTAAAATACTTCATTTAAAAAAAAAAGTTTTAATAACTGACTCAGAAGTTTGAAAGATAATGGCTTTTATGATAGCATTATTATAGTTGAGCATCAAAGAAAGAAGTAATATTAAACTAATCTAGCAAGCATTGTTTTCCACAAAAGAACTCAACCTCTAATCCATCTTAAAGTGCCAAAACAAAGCCTTCTTCATTTCATGCTATAATGGCCATAGAAAACAAGCTTCCACCAAATGTAATGTGACTGACAAAAAGTACAGCTAAAGTTACAGTTCATGAAATCAATGCAGAAAAGATAACTAACCTCATTTGAACCTCTGCGTCTGCGTAACCGTGCAGTAGGCCCACCAGGTGTTGATGGGCCACCAGAAAGACTATCCCTTTGCATAGTTTATCTAAGCCCGTAATCCCGCTATAAGGTACAGCTGGATCTAAGCACAACCGAATTTAAGCAACTTGAAAAGAGAAATTTTTCAGGAATTTAAGCACAGCAGATCTCTAGGCAGCTGAAATAAACAAATGCACACAAGAAAATGGAATTCAGAATAATTCTATTTCCAGAAATAGATGACATGAGAACATAAGGTCCCCATTCTCTTTTATTCCATTATTTCTGTTCTTTAAACTCTCTAGTGGCCTATCCTATTTATGTAACCAGAAAATCCAAGCAAAATCAATATACACAATTCAAGAATTAACCAGAAAGGAAAAAGCTTTGAGAGAGTACCGAACCTCAGCAACGAATAAATTTCTGCCCTTTTTCTCAATCTCAAATTTTGCTAAACTAAGCAAAACCCATGACTCAATCTATTTTCTTTAAAACAAGGGTATGAAGATGCACAAGAAAGAAAAACAAACAACAGGAAAAACAAAAGTGGGAGTTGGTAAATACACGAAAAGGACATTGAATTACACATGAACAGCAAGCAAGGGGGCCAAAAATCCAAACAACTAGCATGTTCCTCTAATTTTTTTATTTTTTTTAATTAAGAAAACTGTCGAGAACCTCATGAACCCAACACAAAGATTATTGAAGTATTTAGAGATCGCTTTAAAGATGCGCTGAAATAATTTAACTCTCATGAACGCTTTCATGCCGCTTTATGAACATATAATAAGCCCATAAAAGGAAAAGGAAAATCATAAACAAATATACCAAAAGCAAGACGATAAAGATCTGACCTTGCGAGCAGTGTATGTAGGTTAAGGGGAACACGAGTGCAGACTCAAACTGGGTGATCTCAATGATTGAAGAAGTTTTTAAGATTGATACGGATTTGATGAAATTTTTTGGGTCAAATAAAAGTGATTAAAATTCATTAATTAAACTTTCCACATTGCTTTTGAATTATTTTCGATTTCTAATTTGTTTTGCAGCCATGGTCCCCTAAATCCTCATGGCTAACATTCCTTTCCATAGTATGGAATTATATTTTTTAAATAAATATTTATATTTTTATGTACTAGTATTTTGTTTATAAAAAAAATAAAAGTAAAAGTATGATAAGAGATACAAAAGAGTAGAGTAGAATTTGAACTTTTGATATTTAAGATCGGGCTTAAGTTTTTATCGGCTCGTAGTTAAAAAAGCTCGAGTTCAGCTCATTTATAAATATTAACGAATTAAACACAAACATGAACAAGAAAAATTAAGGTAAAAAATTTAGAGAATTAGCGAACCTTACTGAATTCGAACTCAAGTTATTTCTTTTAACAATTTCACTTCTATTTTTCAATTTAAATATATATTTTTTTTTAAAAAAAAAATCTAACTAACATCATTGATCATTTGTCTGGTACAAGAACTTGTTCAATTTCTGTGTTTTATACATGACGGTCTCTTGGGCCTCAACTTTTTTTTTTTCTTTTTATTATATTCCTAAATATATTCTTTCTCAAATTGTATATATGCATGGTGGTCTTCTACTACCCCATATTATTAATTGTTATTATCTCTTTTTTATCTGTTTACTTATCCTTCGGATTTTCTTCTATGTTAGTATGTTGACATATGTGGTAGAACCGACCATGTAATATGTAATAAAAAACAAAATAAATATAAGATTGATGCCACCATGAAAGTAAGAAACTAGATCAATTATGGGGTTGATACCACCACAAAAAGAAGCTAAAATAAAAGTATGTATAAGAACTTAAGCGATGTTTGATACAATAACCATTCCGAACCTTCAAAGCTTTGAGCTATCATTTGGACATATGGCTCTAATACTATGCTGACAATGCATAGGGAATTTGAAAGTGTTTGGAATTTGAAGAAAAGAAAAGAAAAATATTCAAGAGAGGTGTTTATACAGTTTTGTATGATCTTGGCATTTGAATGGGAAGAGAGGGGAGGAGAGGCTCAGGAGAGAAGTTTTTCCTCTGAAAAATGAGAAGTGTTGTAGGTTGTGTTGGAATGGTGTAAGAATGTTGTCCTAAGAGGTGATATTTATAGAAAAGTCAAAGACATTGTGCGGTAGGGGTGGGGTAAAATATTTTCACTTTTGATATTTTTCCTTTTTTTCTTTTTTTTGGTTATTTCAAATTTTTATTTATTTTTTGACTTTTTCATTTTTATTTCTTTCTTCCACATTTTTCATGATTTTTTCTTGAATTTTCTATTCTGGTTTTTTCGTACATATTACAACACTTTAGATAGGAGCAAGTAAATTGTCGAAAATGAAACACATAATTTACATTATTTTTATAATATCAAATGTTACTGTGTCCGAAAATTTGTTCGAGAATCGCTTCTTCAAGTCATGAAGAAAATTAGGCGTTAACCATACTTTGTCTTCGTCTTCTTCGTTTCCAATCCTGTACGCTTGCTCCTGTTGAGGCGTGTTTGCAAAGAAATCATTGGACTTTCTTTCACCAATCTTGTACCGATTGAAACTGTATTTGCTTTCCGTTTTTTGTGCAAACGGGATATATAAGAGTATTTTTGTTTGATGAGTATATGCACAAAATTTATATATTTTATTTTGGTAAGCGAGTCGTTTACGTTACATCAAGAGATTTTTTTCGTCCAATTCTGTAGCCACATTCTAGCTTTCCACGCGATTTGTTCTCTTAGGAGGGCTTCGTTATGAAGGTTGTAGTAATTTCAAACTACTACTACAACTACCACTACTACTACCTAAACCAGTTACAAAATTCAAATTCTTCAATTTTTTTTATTTTTTTCTTTTTGTTGGTATTGTATTGTTATCGAACCCTTAATCATTCTCTTTGTTCCCTTGTTCAGTTTCTCCCATTTCCCCTTGGCACCTGCATCATCACCGTTGCGCTAAGCATGTCGAAATATCGCACCACCTCATCATCCACCTCCGCCGCCTTTCTCTAGCTCCACCATTGTCCAAACCGCCTCTTGTCCTCACAAACATCTCCTCTCGATAGGACAACATCCTAATGTCCACTCTCGATTGAAATTTCGCATGCTTTCTGGTTTGATTTATCATAATGCAGAATTCTTCGTAGATTTAATCATAATGGCGAAAATAATGGCTATGGATTTGCTAGTTTATAATGGCGAAAATAATGGGACTAGTGTTCTTCATTAGCACAATTTTTACAATGTAAAAGGTTACTGAATCGTTAAGCAAATTCCAAACATAACATTTCAGTCGATTCCAAAACCATATATCATGCACTCTTGCCACCCTTAATGAATGTTTATTTTGCTTATTTTATTGTAATTGAGTATGGAAATTGTCGAACGGTTAGCCAAAATTGCACCGAACCAAACCAAAAATTCCAATGAGGTTTTCGTTCATTTTTTCCTCCAAATTCGGTTCGGTTAGAACAAATGTAAATTTCTAGTTTTCGATTTTTTGCTGTTTAGTACGGTTTTGCACGTCTGATCCTATCATCCCAACACACACCTTACCATTTTTTATTTAATACCCGCTACGAAAGATGATAAACAAATGCATGTTAAGACTTGCTATTCACCCCCCCACCCACCAAACCAAAGCAGACTTTTTCTCTTTCTTATTTAATACCCTAAGCAATTGCATTGTAACAAATGCTACAATCACATAATATTAATAACAAAAAATCAGTAGCACCCCATAACATAATTCCAATGTTGCTGCAACTCTAGGCATTAAAGACTTGAAACAAATAACAAGAGTTTAAAATTCAACAATATCTCTTAAATCAAACAAAAATACTTTAATCCATCAGAAAGGATGCAGTCAGTGTTCACATACCAGTAACATAAAAAAAATAAATCCCAGCACCTTGACAATAACATACCAAGATAACTGATGCAGGACCACACCATTAGTGACACTTCTTTTCTCCCATGTGTTGTCTGCATATCACTTGAGAGGGATGAACCTGGACGAGTGGGTAGCACCAATACCGGGCCTACCATGCCTGACTGGCTTGTAAGATATCGAGAACTCAGCTAGATAATGGCCAATCATCTCTGGTTTGATTTCAACTGGGTTAAAAGTCTTGCCATTGTACACACCAAGTACACTTCCAATCATCTCAGGTACAATAATCATGTTTCGCAAGTGGGTTCGGATGAGGGCAGGCTTCTCACCTGCTGGGGCCTCACGTTTCTGCAAAATTTGTCACTTGGTTACAACTTGAATCTCTATACCAACAATTTGAGTGGCAGAAAAAAGATTACAATCTGAAGAGAAATAAATGGAAAGGTGTAAAACGAACGCCAACAAGAAACATGAGTAACATGAATGACACAAAAGGTAAATGATGTAAGGCGAAAGCTGATCATAACATATAGAGATATTGATATTGACTAATGCAGGAACCACAACGCACAAAAAAAAAATGAAAAATGACGAAATAAATGAAAACACGATTCAAGACATACAAAATGAAAATCAAAATAACATCATCTCAGCAGTATCTCATTTCATTGATCACTTACTGCCTTCCTCAGCTTCTTGATCAAAGCCATAGGTTTCCTAGTCAGACCTCTATTGAACCTGTGCATTACCCCAATGTCAAGTCAGATCACTGAAAAAACATGCCACAAAGCCTGAAAATGTATACCAGCCGCAAAGGCCAGAGCTTGTAGCCAGTAGAAGCACAATAAAACAAAATTAGTGAACACCAAATCATTCATACAGCTAAAGAGCTACAAAAAGCCACACATCATAACTTCAACAAGGTATCCCGCAGATTGAAGAGTTATAAACAACAATAATTGAACATTCCATCAAACAGATTCAATTTATAACATTGAAATATGTGTACAGAAATTCATAATGAAGTTATTCAAGTATTACAATACACTACAAATTGGACCAACACCCATTGATTCACCACACAAGACAAAAGTCTTGAAAACAAAAACTTTCAATATAAAGAAGAAAAAAATGATACTGGGTATGTTCTCTTCACCACAAAATTCAACATCATTGCTCATATAAAGCACTGAAAAGTTTTACAACCCATCAAGGCCACTCATCAGCCGAAAAGACATAAAAAATACAAAACTGCCACAGTCCTAATTTCACTAACTAACGCAGCAAATATAAATATTAAAAGAATTGATAGAAGGACATACACCCACATATGCCGTAAATACATAATAATACAGGTACACAGGTATAGATCAAACCTTCTGCGGGGACGAGCATTAAAGAGCTTGACGAGTTCTTCTGTAGACATGTCGAGAAGCGCATCGAGATCAGTGCCTCTGTAGCTAAACTTCTTAAACGTTCTCTTCTTTACCGGCTGTCCAGCAACATCAGTCTCAACGTCCGCCTGCACAACACAGGTTTAACCATGTTTAGAACCAAAATGTACCCAAGAAAAACGAGGAACTGAACAAAATTGTGTCAGCAAAACGGTGAAGATAGAAAATTGACCGATACCATGGCTAGTGCTGCTCTTGGAAATCGTTCCTCTCTGGTGCCAAAGGTCTGAGCTTCACCTCACAGCTAGGGTTTTTGATGTGAGAACAGTTAAGAAATGGTGGCTCGGATGATTTTATATGTGACATTAGGGTTAAAAATGATGCATGGGCTACTACTTTGTATTTGGGCTCATAATTTATTGGGCTGAAAACTTCTAAAATTTTAAACACACTGCTGTTTTCCTCTTTGACGTTCTTTAATCCCATTCCCGTGTCTATAATTCACGTGCTCAGTCTAAGTGGCAAGCTCGCACGAGATCTTATGTGACAAATTTTTAAGATTTTTTATTTGGCTTAGATGAATTTAAATTTATTTTCAATACAAAAATAACTAGGTTTGGAATATCTATAAATATACTGGATATTTATGGTCCCTTTTAAAAGCATTAATTATGTTTTAATCCTATTTCCTTTTGAACACGAGATTTATAAGGTATAATATTTTTATAATCTTTTTTTTAAAATTATAACAAGTTTACTAACTTAAATTATAAAATATTTAAAAGTTTTTTATTTATTAACAAATTTTGATATATAATATATTAAATTAATCATGTCTTGATAGCTTCGATTTGACACATATATTATACATATAAAATAAATAAATTACCTATTAAATTAATTAAAAATAAAGTTATTTAAATTAATTTAACTATAAAGTAGTTATCTATATAAATTAATATATATATATATATATGCTATAAGATCGTAAGTTGTGTAAGTGACAGTGTCATTTTAAATATAATTAATAGTATATTTTTTAAAAAAGTATTTAAAAACTAAAACAATTTTTGTTGTATATATATATTTTTTAACAAGTACTCGTACAGTACATTGGTATTGTACTAGTTTTAGCTAATTCATATTTGAGAAAAATGCAATTATCATTAGGTACATTTCATCATTTTCCATATAAATCCTTCATGTATGATGATTTGGATTTTGCCCTATGTATACATTAAAATGTTACAATCTAGTTATCGACCCATCGATCCATAAAAATCCAATGTTCTGCTCATAAGGGTGAATCCAGATAATCTATAATTTTTGGTGGATCGAATACTAAATTGCAATATTTTTCCTCTCAACTCCTCCCTCAATCACACCATTCCAAAAATGTCGACCAAAGTTGGAAATATTTTAGTTGCTAGGTCTTTTCTCTTCTTTTTAACATTTTTATTTGGATTAGATTCGACTCAGTCACACGCACTATATCAAATTTGGTTAAACGTTGTTTGGGTTGGAGTTTATGTGGTTGGATATATATACTGCTTTAGAAAATTAAAAATTATTTTGATGAAAAAAGTGAAAAAATTTGGGTGAAAGAATGAATTATTTTTGAGTTTTTGAATGGATATAAAATAATATAATGATTAAATTGATCTGATATAAAAATAGTAAAATAATAATTATAACTTATTTATAGTTAAAAATATGCGAGTGGATGAGTAATGAATTTTGTTGGATAATATATAGTAATGATATGAATTATATTTTTTAATTATGCTGATAAGGTTTAAGAGTAAAAATAGAAATAGATAAATAGTGATTAATTTGGAAAACTAATAACCATCACAATTCTAGTAAAATAATATTTGAGAAGGCGAAAATGCATATATTTCATATCTAATCGTGCATGTGACTAGCTTATTGTTGGTTGGTGCTCAATGTCTCTGCAACGAAGTTGGGTATCAGTGATATAGAGCTTGTAAGTGCGGTTATGGCGGCGAGTTCGTTGAAAAGGGAGTTATTTTGTTTACTATTCAGATTATATTTGTATTTATTCTATTTTATTGTATTGTCGTTTTCTTTCTTGTGTTATTTTGTTCAAGACAATCTCCCTCCAATGGATTTGGACAAAAATTAAAGTTAACAACATATCCAATTATTTTGGTTTGGTAAATGAACACACATTTAGTCGAAGCAGTATATAAATACATGAGAATTAAGAAGAAGGTGTATTAAGTGGTTAAAAGTGTTTGATTATGTAGATCAGGTCGGAGCCTTATGTTGGATGTAGTAAAATCTATAAGACGGTCCTATAAGGCCCTATTTGATTCAGCTGTTAGGATTGGATATGTTCAATTATATCATACGTTTGGTATGCATAATAGCAATATTACGCACAGGATTATTTGTATGCATAATTATCCCAACTTTATCCATACAAGCGTGGGATTGAATTTGTTTACGCGTTGATAATCTATCAAGACGTAGGTTGAGGTGATAAAACTAGTCCTCATTTTAGCTTTTAGTAAAATTACGTTCCTAACCTTGAAAGCTTATGTTATACTAAGATTGTTGACCCCCAGTAGTTGTAATAATTACAACAAATTGGAAAAAACGAAATGAAAGCAATACTAGTGCACGAGAAATGCTATGGAGCCAATGGTTGGCTCCTTTATGGAGCCAACCACCACTGTTATAGTGTCACGTAGGTCATGTGAAAAAATAATTAACTCCACATGACTTACGTGACACTATAACATTGGTGGTTGGCTCCATAAAGGAGCCAACCATTGGCTCCATTGCATTTATCCATCACACAATCACTTACAAATTTGAAAATCTTTCTCTTAGTTCTCCCAATCCCCAAGTGTAAAATCAAATATTTAGATTATCACTCTAGAAATTTCANCGTGGGTTTTTGGTTTATTGAGGCAATTTTGTTCTTCTTTCATTGGTTTAGCAAAATTGAGCACACTGCTGCGTTGGATTATTTAAAGAGATTAGAGGGGTTAATTATCCTTCATTTGGGCAATTTGGTTTGAATTATTTGCAGTTGTTGGGGTTTTTTATTTTCGGCCTAACCTTTAATTGGTTGGTGATTACAACCATCAATTTGCTTTGAATTGTTTGGTTTACAACCATCAATTTTTTTTTTTATTGAATTAGTTTGACTGGGGGCTGCGTTCAATTAACTTGATTTTTGAGGGGTTATTTTTCCTTTCAATTGGGCAGCAATTGCGTGGCTAGAAAACATCACAAGTCTGGTACATAATTGTGTTTGAGTTGCTGGGAGATTAATTTTGTCTTCAATTGGGTGCTGTTTTATTTGGTTACGAGCAACAATTAAATTGTTGGTGATTATCTGATTTCTGTGACCTCATGACTTTTTCTTCTTTGGCTGGTCATGGCGGACGCGGTGACGGACCGGCTATTGCCGGCCACGGTGGTCCAGCCCTTGTCAACGCCGCCTTCTCTAACAGGGCTGCACTTAGTACCTCTGGCTCCATACATGACGGGCCAACATCTTCATTGACGAACTCCGATCGGGCGGCTATTTCGGGGTTGACTGATGCCCAATGGGAGTCTATTGTACACCTCGTCACTTCTGCCCGCAACAATGGTCCTTTGTCTGGTAAGCGTAGTCCTACAAGTGGATGTATGATAGCGGTGCTTCATATCATATGACGGGCTACTTGGAATTTTTTTCTGATATTCGGGATATTCCGCCCCGGTCTGTGCAGTTACCTAATGGCACGCTCACCACTGCTTGTAAAGCTGGAACTGTTCATCTCGGTTCTCGTATTATTTTATATGAAGTTTTATTCGTTGATAGTCTTCAGTGCAGCTTGATATCTTTGTCTCGGTTGTTGGAACAATCTGGTTGTGTTGCTACCTTCACTAGTAAATAATGTGTTATTCAGGACCTCACTTCGAGGACAGTGATTGGAGTAGGTGAGCAGTTGGGGGGACTCTATTTTTTTCGAGGTGCAATCACTGCCAACGCTTCTCGGGTGTCTTCGGTTATGCAGCACTTGTGGCACCAGCGGATGGGTCATCCCTCTTCTACTGTTTTTAGTCAATTGCCTTTTGTTGAGTCTTGCTCCTTGGTCTCGCATAAAACTTGTGATGCTTGTTGTCGGGCGAAGCAATCTCGCGCTAGCTTTCCTCTTAGTCGTAGTGTGAGCAGTTCCATTTTCAGTCGGATTCATTGTGATGTGTGGGGACCTTATAGAGTTCCTGCCTTTAGTGGAGCTCGATATTTTTTTACTATTGTTGACGATTATTCTCGCGGTACTTGGATTTTCTTACTGGATGACAAATCTTCGGTATCTTCTACTTTACTCCAATTTTTTTGCTTTTGTAAAAAGGCAATTTGGTGTGTTGGTTAAAACTCTTCGCAGTGACAACGAGACTGAGTTTACTCGTATGCGTGATTATTTCCATCAACAGGAAATTGTTCATGAAACTACTTGTGTCGGAACTCCTCAACAAAATGGTCGTTCTAAGCGCAAACATCAGCACATTCTTAATGTTGCTCGAGCATTACGCTTTCAGGCCCATTTACCGATTGAGTTCTGGGGACATTGTGTACTTGCTGCTGGCTATTTGATTAATTGAACGCCTACTCCTCTTTTATCCGGTAAGACTCCCTATGAACTTTTGTATGGCGAACCTCCCAACTATGCGCATTTATGTGTTTTTGGTTGTCTGTGTTACGTGCACAATCAGCACAGGGATGGTGACAAATTTGCAAGTCGGAGTCGTCGATGTGTTTTTGTTGGCTATCCATCTAGTCAAAAGGGGTGGTGTGTTTATGATTTGGACAATCGCATTTTTCTGGTCTCACGTGATGTGAAATTCTGTGAATCGGAGTTCCCTTATTTGACGTCTCCTGCTCTTGATACTGCCTCCATACTTGTGGTTCCGTCGTCTGCTGTTTCTGACGATGATGATGCTGTGGTGGTTCCCACTACAATGCGTACTGCTGCCACTGAGGGTTCTGAGGTCATTGTCGATAGGGGGGTAATCCTCCCCAAGAGGAAGTGCTGGGCCGTGGTCATCGTCTCAAGAGACCCTCTTCTCGTCTTTCCGACTTTGTCTCTCACACTATTTGTTCCTCGTCCCCCCACTCTGCCTCCTCAATCGCGTCATCATCTGGTACTCCTTACCCTCTCACACACTATGTTTCTTGTGATTCCTTTTCACTTGCACATCAGTCATTTCTTCTACTGTTGGCCTCGAACATTTTCTGAGGTTGTTCGAGATAGTCGTTGGTGTCCGGCTATGCAACTAGAGATTCGAACCGTACATGGGATATTGTTTCTCTTCCTACTGGAAAACACGCGATTTGTTGCAAGTTGATTTATAAAATTAAATATAACTCTGATGGTTATGTTGAGTGCTACAAGACGCGTTTGGTTGTCTTGGGTAACCGGCAGGTGGAGGGCATTGACTATTGGTCGTGCTGTCATAGGCATCCAAATTAACCTTGCTTAAAAATATGTAGTAGCGTGAGCAAGGATCGTATCCACGGGGAGAAGTAAACTAAATCTATTAACTATGTGATCAAAGAAGGGGTTTTTAAATTAATGATCTAATTAAACTAGAAATTACCTATCAAACTAACAAATAAATAAAACAAAACTAAATAAACAAAAATAAATATAATATGAATATGCCTTCTGAATTGATTTTCACCCTAGACTGTTCCACTGATCATTGATGCAAAAATATAAACTCACAATCCACGCAACTGCCGTTGAATATAAATTTCATCTCCTGGTTTAGTCACGCAAAATAAATCCTTCTACGAGACTCTTATAACTAGTTAATTCCCAACATCGTGAAGAAGTATTCTAGCAATAGCATTAAATACAAGAGACCGACAGTCCAAGCAATAAATAACTAATCCGTTAAATATTAATTTGTTCAATTATTTCGCCTAAGAACGACAACGCCTAAATCCGGTCAATCATCTATCTTAGTTGCTTCTAGTGAAAGACACATGATCTAAATCCGACTCAAGTATCAATCAAGCAATAGATCATAAGCATAGAATAACAGGTGGCCAATCCATCAACTACATAACAATCATAAAAATATGCACACGAAACATTGATGCGGAAAATATTTGAATTGGAATGAAAACTAATTCGATCTCACAGTAGTAGGTCTGGGGTTTTGATCGTCTTCAACCAAGACAAAGATAAATTAGCCGCGTAGGGCTATCATAATCAAAAGAAAGAAAAAGAAAAATAATGAAGAAAAGAAGAAGGGAGAGCCGCTGATGTTGTGCTATCATAATCACGTTATATACTGCTCATGGGATTTAGTTAATAGGCCCAATTATAAGAGATAGGATCCAGAATATACCAACATGGCCATGTTACATTTGAACTGTAATTCCGACACTACCATGTTAGTTATAAACATTTTCTCTTCCCAGGCACATCGAACTCTCAATTGCTCCAAAGTTGAATCTTCCATTTGACATGCTAAAGAGCCTTAGATCTGCACAGAAATTCGAACATCGGTAGTTTCCACTCGAAAATACAAGATAATGTCAAACATATGTCAATTGAACTCAAATAATTAATATATATTTTAAATTAATCCACTAAACCGACACATATTTTGGACTTATCAACTATCATGAGACATTTGCACCTGTCGCCAAGATGGTTACTGTACGGACTTTTCTTGCTGTTGCAGTTGCTCGACATTGGGAGGTTCATCAGATGGACGTGCACAATGCGTTCTTACATGGGGATCTGTCTGAGGAGGTCTACATAAAACTTTCTCCATGTTTTCATCCGTCTGATCCTAGTAAGGTGTGTCGATTGCGTCGTTCTCTGTATGGTTTGAAGCAAGCTCTTCGTTGTTGGTTCGCCAAGCTTGCTACTGCCTTTAAGCAATATGGTTTTACATAGTCTTATTCGGATTATTCACTGTTTACTTTACATCGTGATTCTGTGCATTTACATGTCTTGGTTGCCTTTAAAGAGTACTTGGGTCGCTGTTTTCATATGAAGGATTTGGGAGCCTTGAAGTATTTTCTGGGCATTGAGGTTGCTCGGAACACCTCTGGTATTTTTCTATGCCAGAGAAAATACACTCTTGACATCGTTGCCGAGACAGGCTTACTTGGCGACAAGCCAGTTGACTTTCCTATGGAGCAGAATCACCAGCTCCCATTAGCCGAGGGATCTTTATTCGCTGATCCTGAGAAATATCGTCGATTAGTGGGCAGTTTGATTTATTTAGCTGTGACTCGTCTTGACTTGTCGTATGTTGTGCACATGCTCTCCCAATTTATGCATCAACCTCGTCAAGCACACTGGGATGCCGCTATTCGTGTGGTTCGATACTTGAAGGGTACGCCAGGCCAGGGTATTCTTCTTCGTTCCGACTGTGATTTACAGATTTATGGTTGGTCCCTCACCGGTTGGTTCGTTCAGTTTGGCCACTCTCCGATATCGTGGCGTACTAAGAAGCAACACACTGTTGCTCATTCCTCAGCCAAAGCTGAGTATCGCGCTATGGCGACTCTTACTTGTGAATTGAAGTGGTTACGGGGTCTGTTGCGCAGTCTTGGTGTGGCTCATTCACAGCCGATGCGGATTCACTGCGACAGTCAGGCGACTCTTCACATTGCTGCTAATCCAGTATTCCATGAGTGCACCAAGCACATTGAAGTTGACTGTCATTTTCTTCGTGATACTCTCGTCCAGGGTCTCATTTCTGCCACTCATGTTTCTATTCATTCTCAGCTAGCGGACATTTTCACAAAAGCCTTGGGCAAGCGGGAGTTTGATTTCTTCCTTGACAAGTTGGACATTCGAAACCCGCATGCTCCAACTTGAGGGGGGGGGNGTTATCATGTATATTTATGTAGCATATCTTGTGCATTATTTGAGGAGATATTTTAGGGATAGTTAGTATCTTGTGATTAGTTAGTTTCCTTAATTAGCATTAAATCTTTGTTATATATTTTGTCTAATCAGAATTCTCGGATCATCACGTTTGGGATGAATCAGTTTCACAATATTTCTCTTGACACCCTGCCTCAAGCCTTTAGAAGGCTACAATAAACCCTGAGCAGAACCTTTGATGTTAAATGAAAAAGAAATAGAACAAATACAAGCAAGAATCCATGAGATAAAGACCTAAAAAAAACCCATTTTCCTATAAATTTTAGTAAAAATAGCCCATTCTACTCAGCCACATCTAGCTTAAGGGCCATGAATTCTTTGCTTTTTCTTTTGCTATTCAGAAAATGATACATTTATTAGCAATGACAATCTATCCAAAATTTGCCTCCCAAGGACAAGCAGACTAGAAGGCTGAAATACACAGCAAGACAAAACAAGTTTAATCGCATCTGCTAAGATTTTGTCGATCACGTTATACACCACCGAATAAAGACTTATAGGCCTGAAGTTAGAAACAAGAACAGGGTTAGCCTTCTTCAGGATAAGAGTGATAATTGTGTAGTTCAACGCCTTAGGCATTCTCCCATTTTTTAAAAGAACAACAAGAATCAGGTGATGACTAATGGTAGACCAAGAATTTTGATAAAAAGAGGTTGTCATACCATTAGCCCCAAGGGCCTTATCCTGCTCCATATCAAACAAGGCTGCCTTAATCTCCATCTCCCCCACCTCTCTAACAAGACTCTTATTCATATCCTTAGTAATAGAAACAGAAATACCCTCTAAATTACAGTTCTGCTCTTGGGGGGATTAAAAGATCTGAATATATTCTCAAAGTAATTCTTCAGCTCATTTAAGATTTCCCAATCATTTTCACACCTATTATCATATGTCTTAGTAAGATTATCTGAGCAATTGATCTTTCACATGTGCCTCACACTAGCCCGGAAATACAGTTCCTATCCCATTCTTTAAGCCAAGTTATCCTAGACTTCTCTCTCCAGTAGATTTCTCCATTTTTATAAGCTTCATGGTGTTCATCTTTTAAGGCTTTCCAATCAGTCCAATTTTTCTCTCCCCCTTGCTGATCTAGCAAATTCAATCCTTCTCTACACTATCAATTGAGATGGAAGAATTAGTTCTCTTACCAGATTTCCAAACAAGACAATTCTAACATTTCTAATCCTAGCTTGCAAACTGAAAAGCTCAGGGCCATGGACAAGTCTATTCTAAGTCCTTTTCCTGGTAGTATCTTTCCAAATTGGTCCACCTATCATCAACAGAGAACCTAGGTTTCTGGAACTGAAAGGAGCCAAAACTATCTAAGATAATCATACTATGGTCAGAAGATAATAAAGAAATGTGCTTAACTAGAGAATTTGGAAACAAATTTCAATTAGGAGAGAGTAAAAACCTATCTAACTTTTCTTCCACAAAATTTATCCCCTTCATATTGTTCCTCTAAGTGAAAAGATGACCTATAGACCTAGTCTCAACCACTCCTAAAACCAACCAAACTCAATGCCAAAAACCAACCAAACGAGGCGTAAGAGTGTCGTTGAACAGGTTTAATGATTGTAAAAATTATGATTAGTAAATATAAGTATGTATTTTAATAAAAAAAATGGGAAATAGACAGTTAAACGGTCTTAATAGCAATTTGAGAATAAAATAATGATCATGTTGAGCATCACCAACCAATTTAGCATGACAGAATCAGAATAACACATGGGACCTAAGGTCTTACTAAATCCTCTTCAACCCCAAGCACAGACTGGAGCCAAAAATAACATAAAAAAATCAACATAAGTCGCCAAATATTAATAGGCTCAGTTCAAAGCTACTACGCCACAAAGCTCCCACTATTATATAACGAATATACACTCAAATACGTCATAAATAAACAGTAGGACAACGAAATATAGCATCCTCCATAACCGCAAATCTCAAGCCACCACCATTTTAATTTTAATTTCATTTTCAATTTTCTTTCTTAAAAAATGGATGCTCCATGAGAAACAAACGAACCTCACCTAGAACGAGTAATCCCCCTTCTCCTCGCAATCCTGTGCCCGACTCCAACCACCACCGCCTTCCCAATCAGCCCCGTGTGGAGCCCACAGACAACGGCAACGGCCCCACCAACCGCCACCCACTTCCAATCCATCCCAACACTGCCACTGCCGCCAACTTTATTTTTCCCGTCAACTGCCACCAACTCGCCTCCTTCCCCTTGGCCCGAAACCGAGCTGGCTCCACAGCCATCAGACTCTTGGTCGAAAGAGACTTTGGTCGTGACTCGCGCGTTGAGGGCACACCGGGAAAGGGAGGCCTCCGATTTCTGGGCATTTTGGTAGGCTCGGAATCCGGTGTGCAGTTTCTTGACGGTGCCCCACATGCCGTGACGGACGCCTAATTTCGCGACATCCTTTGGGATGCCCATGTCCTCGTAATGAATGAGGGTGACCTCGCATGCGGAGGATGATTGACTATCCCCGCCTCTGCGTGATTGTGCTGCATGATTTTTTCCAAGAAAACGATAGTAGTAAAAGTTATGTATTTGTCTGTGAAAGGAAAAAAGGGATTTTTTTTCCTTCTTCCTTTTTTTTTTTTTTAAAAAAAAAGAGAAGTATTCATTTACCAGGTTTGATGACCCAGCTTGAGAAATAGAGATCGACACGCCTGGGTTTGTCGCGCCTTGGCAGAGATGGATATGGCACTCCCTGTAGGTACCGATTTGGGAAATTAGGCGTGCAGTGATCGGATGAGCTCATGGTTGATGTGCACGAGTCATAACAAACAAAAACTATACTTGGGGTTTGACCAAATTACAACAACAAAGAAAATTCAGCCAACTGAGGTTCGGTCTTCATTTTCGCACATAGTATGAAGCAAACAAAATTTGCTGAGGAGCTCAAATATCTCTGCAGTACATCCTCCTGTGTTTCTAGACGTTACAGATAACCCACAATTTTTCTGTTTTACAATTTACATTAGCTCACTCAAAATTTTGAAGTGTTACAAATAGACAGATGGGAAGTTGGGGCGACTAGCAATATTTTGAAAAGTCGAGGATGTAGTTAAAAAATGGCCAATGATGCCAGGAATTACCTCATGTCAACTATAATGGATGTAATGTGAATGAAACCACAGAGAGGTTCCTGTAAATAGCACAATAAACCTTGTGGGGTCGTTTTTCTAGTTATCCCTATGGTAAAACGATCTCCAAGATGGATAAAGCATGCATGAGAGAAAGATAATCATAGTAAAATAACAATAAGATAATGGAATTTTTGAGTAAAAGGAGATTTTAACAACACAAGGAACACAATGCAGCAAGTTTCTACAAGTAATCAAACTGAAAGGCAAGGAGTTGTAAACGAGACAGAAAGGAAAAAAACACTATGCGACTGGCTCTAGCATAACAATTCTAACATGAAAATCATGAAAAAAACACTATGCGACTGGCTCTAGCATAACAATTCTAACATGAAAATCATACCTTTGTAACGCAATAATAAGTTTTCACTCCTTCCCATATTCTCCTACCGATGATGTATTCTCGATCGCTACAGAAGAAAGGGAACTGCATAGGCAGGAACAGAGTTAGTTGATCAGAGGTCAAATAAAATATTTACAAATAAATGGATGCTCAAGTGCTAATGGCAGTCAACCTTCTTAATCCAATGGACAATCATCATCCCTGTCTCGGGGCATTCTTCGAGTATCTTGACATAGACAAGCATAGGATCCCACTTGGGTCGAAACTCATCATCCCAGAAAAAATCTCTGACCATCTCAGGAGTTGCATCTTCAAAAATTGTCTTGCTGCGATACACTGTGGGACCCACCTGCAAAACAAGATGTTTCGGTGAGAGTAGCAATGCACTTATTTTCAAGTGGGTGTCAACAAAACCCATTTTCTTCACTTACAGTAACCAAAACCATAGATACAAAGAAAAATTACAGAAGCTAGGCTTGAGTTTTGACAAAACTACACACTAATAATATACAGCTAAATTTGGGTTGGTGTCAAAGTTAATGGGCTGGCTCTACTATATTAATAAATGTGGAAATAGGACATTGAAATGTCTTTTGCTTATTGAGGGGGTAATGTAAAACAAAATAAAATTCCCCAGATTATTGTAATGTGGAAGTTCACTTTCTGTAATTGGGCCAAACCAAATGGGAACTTTTGTTCTCAGTCTCTTTTACAGACAGCGTCTTCTAAGGGCAATATAATCAGTAAACAAAACAAGTAACTGTGTTCATCGATATTTACTAAACTGCATACTGAATAAGGAAACCAAATACTATTATTTAACTAACACATCAAAAATCATAGATCAACACAAAAAATTCCCTACATTAGAACTTACTTCAGAATTGCTAGGTGGACACATTCTAAGACATGGGCTAGCCTTACCTCGGGCTCATGGCGCCAGGCTTGGTACGTCATGTTCGATGTTGAGCGTTCCATCATACTTTGCCATGCCAATTCCCCTTCTTTCCCATCGAGAAGATTCAACAGGTGTTCCAAGTCTTTGTCTGTGACACTATTCAATTGCCCATCTGAATCTCCAGTGATAGTCTCCATACTTCTTGATTGTGTCAAGCTGGTTTCATGAAAAAAGTTAAAGTAAAGAGATCGGACAAAATATCTATTGAATTGTAATTTGTCAAACTACTACAATATCCTGCTTGGATGAAAGGTGCTTAAACAGAGCCAAGAAAGGGGATTATTAAACATGCTACTACACCTACATAGTCAAAGGAAGTTACATCAACTTATCAAGGGTTGTATTTTAATACCCTGAACATGAAGTTTGAGCAGCCTCTTTGTGATCAGATGATAAGATAATCATTTAAGCAACATTCCAGTAGTTTGAATATTTATTATTAGGCCCCTATGAAAACACCTTAATGACTTCGGCAAGGATTTTAGTTAACGACAAAGTAGAAAGTTCACATAAACATATGTGGTCTATAAATTGACTTACTATTTATTCTAGCTGGATGCATTATTTGTTAAATGATGAAGTTCCAATAGAATGAAAAACAATACCATCATTCTGTAGAACTCAAATAGTAAACAAACAGGCCTGGACAAGACAGATTTCCCGACTAAATAGATCCAGGAATCAACTCCACAACACCAGAAACCACTGGCGGTGTTATCCTAACAATAGTTAACAGAGATCCATATGGATAGCTGTGACACGGTCAATAATACCTAAAAAATCATACTTCTAATCTTTGACCCCAATAACTATTGTAAAATTAAAACCGACGTAACAAAATGTAAAATTTACAACATCAGAGTAAGTTCAATATTTAAATAGATGTTAGCATGTTTCATGGCAAGACCATTGTTCAGGTACGCGCCAACTAGTGATTGACATATAAACCAATCTAACATAGGACCTATGTACTATACACAGAACCAATATAATGCCCAAAGAAAAATAATCTGCAGATAATGTACCACATTTTTGTTTCTTTACTTGCTGGAAAATCTATTACATTAAAATACTAGTGATTCAAAACACAAAAGAAAGAAAAATAATCTGCAGATAATGTACCACATTTTTGTTTCTTTACTTGCTGGAAAATCTATTACATTAAAATACTAGTGATTCAAAACACAAAAGAATGAGTAGCATTGTATCCACATTATAATTTATATCTTACAGGAAATGCCTAAATTGCATCCACAAAAGAAAAATGATAGAAAAGATGATCTTTATTGCTCAATCCATGAGAAGGTCCCTGTTTCTTGCACAGTGAACAACTAAATACATAGGTTTATAGACGATATAAAATTTAATTGGGCATGGTAAACATATAATGCAGATAATAATAATAATAATCTTCTCCCGGTTGCTCTGAAACTCAAATAACAACGAACTAGCAACAAACTCATGACCATTTTCTCTATCCACAGTTCCGATTCTAAACATTTTACAGATTAACAGATAAAAGCTTTGAATTTAAACAAAATCTACACATTTCACCTCCTCCGCAGGTACACCCACAAACACAATTACCAAGCAATCCCAAGTATAACAGCATCGTACAATCAAAAGTAAAAGGGAAAAAGGAAAATATAGAAACAGACTAATCTGAAAGATACCTGATACTACCATCACCAACCGCAGCCGACTCCCGTGCATCGCCTGCCAGCTCCTGAGCCGAATCCGCCAGCTCACGAGCCGACGACTTCCCTAGCTTGCGGCTCAATCCGCGCGAGCGGAACCAAATCCCACGACAGAGCGAAAATGCCGAGAGCGCGGTGAACGCGAGCCAGAACCTCCGGGCACCGAGCCCCGGGGGGAGGGTCCAAACGTATCGGAGCTTGGATCGGAACCCGAGAAAAACAAGACCCGCCCATCTGGGGCGCCAGGACCACCCGATCAGGAGGCCGATCATCACGGCGACCCAAATCGGGACCGCGCAGACCAATATGTCGACGAATGCTTCAGTGACCGCCGGATAATTGAAGAACTCCAGCATGCTGTCAGTCAATCCGATCCAAACCCCTTCCATTGCTTTCAATTATTTTTGGAAGACAAATTTCAAGGGAGAACCGTGACAGGACACGCTTTTGCTACATGGATTTTGAGCAATTGTGTGGATTTGGTGTTGCAGAGGAGAGAGAAAAAGGGGAGAAAGAGATGCGGTGGGCGACCCTGTTTAACGGGAATTGGATAAAATTGGTTTTTACAGTTTCCGTACAGTTGGTGATTTAAGGTATAACTAATCCAGCACAACGTACAAGTACTGCGGTTGTTCGTCTTATCGTGTATAATTGATACTTATTTTTTTCGATTATTTTGGTTTGATTTTTTTTATTAATTTTGAAAAAATTGGTATGACTAATTATTAGTAAAATTTTAATTTTGTATTAAAATAATATATGAAATAAAATAATTAAAATTAATTTAACTTAAAAATAGGATATAAATAATTAGAAGTGATGAATATTTAAAATTATGTCAATATATGAATATTAAACTGAAATTGATACGTAAAAATGATTGACTTGATATTATTTAATTATACTGATAGGGTCCGGGTGACCCCAATTGAGGAGAAATTGGTTCAACATCGGCTGAGGTGGTTCGGACATGTCCAACGGAGGCCTCCTGATGCACCGGTGCGTAGGGGAGTTCTACAGCGGGTCGAAGATGTCAAGAGAGGTAGAGGTCGGCCTAAACTCACTTGGGAAGAGTCGGTTAAGAGAGACCTTAAAGATTGAAATATCTCCAAGGATTTAGCGGTGGATAGGAGCGCTTGGAGGCTCGCTATCAACGTGCCGGAATCGTGACTTTTGCTCCTTTCTCTCTNAACACAGAGCTAATTGAGACGAATATTAATATTATTAGAACCCACCCAACATTTTGAAATTATAACAGCAAGAAAAAGAAGGCAGAAATACTCATTTACAAAATGTAGTCTTTACCACCAAGGTTAGCACCCCAGATGCAAATCCAACAACACAACAATGCTTTCTTCCCCCTTGGATAAATTATTACAACCACAGAGTATACACCCCTATAAATAAAACATAATCATCTTCAAAGTCCGTTTGAAGGCCTGTATACTGTGTACCCATTCATCCCAACACTCAGGTTCGCATACTCCGGTAAATGATACGGATAGCTTCCACCTTCACTTTCCATAATACTCCTCGCGCTCATGAACGGCGCCACATCTGGACCGCCGCCCATCTGCCACTGGCCCGGGACAAACCCATCAAGCTGCCCATTCAAATACGCCTGTGGGCCCACCTGTAACGGGGTATCGTAACTTCTTCCCGAGCCACCATAACCATGCTGAAGAAGTCCTCCACCGTCGTGAAAGCTCCGGTAAGCCCGGTCAAACCTGCACGACGGGCCGGGCTCTCCCAAAAGGCCCGATTCGCTCGGGAAGCTGTGATGCCTGTTCAGATAATGGGCCCTGCTGCCAAAACCCGGGTAGCCCGAGTTGGACGGGCCCACGATCCCGATGCTCTGTTCGTCGTCAAGCAGGTCGTTTATGATGTCCAGATGCGGAAACTCGTCCGGCATCATGTGGCTCTGGCGCCCGGACGTGCCAGCTGGGAACTCGGCCCGGAGGTGATCGTGCGGCCCGATTCGGCCCGGATTGTACAGATCGTAACTCGGAATGTTTGGGCTCAACATTCCCAACGAAAGATTCGGTTTCAACGGATTAAGCTGGGAAGGTGGCTGCTGTGAGTAAGAATTTGGTGAGTTCATAATAGAATTAGCAGGAGCATTCTGAGGATAGGTGGGCCCGCCGATAATTGCGTTTCGGTAGGACTGAGGGACATAGCTCTGGTTGGTGGAGTATGGAGTGGTGGGGGTTTCAGGGCCCAATCGTCCAGCGGCGCTAACAGAACGGGCCAAAATGGGGGCCGTTTGGACCATGGAGACAATGGGGACAGCGGGCCTTGGGCCCGGTGCTACAGGAGCACTGAAGGGCCGAGACATGACAGGCGAAGGTGGAATTGAGGTGCTCGTTTGGTGTTTGGATGTATTTACAGCAGGATTTGGAGTTGTGAATTTATGAAGGTTGGTAGTTTCTGAAGTGGGGGTGTTTTCAGATGAAGTTGATGAAGGCACAGAGATATGAGCTGCTGGCCTAGCAATGTCGGCCTTTCTGTCCAAATCTAGACGAGAGATTAACGGGATGAGTTTTGAGGGGCTTCTGGGCGGGGACGTTACACATGCTGCACTTTTGCTGGGTGAATTTGCATCGACTGGGCCTTTGCCACTCGGATTTCTCTGAAAGGGTCTGGATTCTTCATCCTGGAAGAAAAGAGGTGGGGAAAATATAAATTATTTCAAGGGAAAATAGTTCTCTGCCCACAGTAAAAAGAGGATTAAAATGAGCTAATCTGTGGTGAATGACCATTTTTAACCCAATAACCAAAGAAATTACTGGATGTTGAAATATTAGGTTTATAATAATTATTAAACGTTCAGCAATCGTGAATCATGATGAAAAAGATTGCGGTGGAGACAAAGCTATGAAATAATGCAGCAAGTATTTACGATCCCAGTTGACTATCCATTTGGGAGTTGGATCAATGATTTCGAGAAAGAATGGCTATATCAGTATATATAAAAAACAAACAATTTATCTTACAATTTAATCTTCATCCATGCATATTTTTGAATAAAGAATGTCACCTTTTTTCCCACTTTATGCTCAACTCCATTGGCCACTCTATCTGGCAAAGACCGAACTGGAGGCTGGGGAAGACAACTTTGGGATGCGTCAGTTGAGTGCCTTGCATCTGGTACGGGTTGACTATGTTCTACATTAATCCAATCAGCTGATCCAGAACTTAACTTGCTTTGGTGGCTCCACCCTCTGGAAAGTGGAACAAAAAACTGTCACTCTGATAATGTCATGTATAACTAAATAATGCCTGAAGGTTCTCTTAACCAAATAAAAGAACAATGATAAAATAAAAACATAAAAACAAATATAGCCTCAAGTAGGTATTTGTTATGTCTCAAGGGGGTACCCATAATTTTAAAAGACAAAGCAAGGGGTATACTTTATAATTATCCAGAGAAGAATAAAAAATATGACCTGCTTGGAGAGTTTTGGTTATTGTGGTAGCGTGATTTCCCTTTGTTAGTCACGCTCGCAACAGAAGAAGGAACCGAGTCAGAGGAACAAGTTGATGAGTTATCATCCACTACTGACGGACTTCTTCTTTCCACGCCATTTTGTGCAGCAACTGAAACTTCTACCGGCGGTTGCACTTCAGAATGATCAGTATCCCAATTGACAGGACTCAAATCCCTGTCCTCGGAATCTGGTGGAAGAATGTCTTGGGCACAATCTACAGAATCAGACACATCAGATACAATTTCAACAACCTCAGACTTTTCAAGTACAATGGCTTGCTCGGCAGCTAACTCTTTCATCGCAGCATGACTATCTTCATCAACCTTGTCTTGCACAGCGCTTATGATAGTTTTTTCATCCCGTCCCTTATCCTTTCCTTTGCGATTATTTCGTTTCTGTTTGGTCTGAAAATTTAATGAGATGATGACAGTAAAAAAAAATTATTATTATTTCTTACACATAGAAAGGGCAGGAAGTATCACAGAACAATCAAACAATGTCTTACATGTGTTGATGATAAGAGGAACAGAGTTAACCAACGTCCAAGAAATGCAAAAGTAGATGCATCATCAGAGTTAATTATCAAACACAGAATGACATAAATCTAATAAACCAACATCATTATCATTAGTTTCTTAAAAGAACAATAATGCTTTAGAATAAACTCTTAAGAGGTTTATTCTCTTCAAGAGGAACTACCTAGGATCTTTTTCCACAAATGTTTAATGAAGTTTAACGAACCTGCTTTTTCTTAGACTTCTTTTCCTTATCCGAAACTCCACGCCTTGCTTTTTGCTCAAGATCTGCAAGCCAAGCTGCCTCCTCTTCACGAATAAGCTCTTCTTGTTTCTTTAATGCAACAGCCTCCTGATACGCAACTTCAATTTTGCTGTTGTCAGAACAAAGTGAACCTTAGCAATCTGAAGAAAATTATAAAGTGATTGGCACTAAAGATGTAAAACAAATGCAAAGTTAACAGAAGCAGGGCAACAAAACGAAAACTCTTTTGAAGCAGAAAGAAAGCAAGCTAAGTAAAGCACTTATGAATTCGATTTCAATCTAAAAAATGCTCTCCCATATCTTATGCATGATCCTTACACAGCAACAGGGACGGGACAAAGAGCACTGTAAAACCATATTGACTGCTTATGGCAGAACAAAGATGGCTTCTATAATATGAATTGAGTACCTGAAAACGTGAGCTAAGACAAATATCTCTATAGTCCTGCGACCCAGTTCAGTAAGTCGTCTCTCATCACGCTCAATAGAATCTTTGTTGAACTCCTCTCCAGTAGTTCCATCCTTGAAATAAAAATCCAGACAAACAAAGCATTTTCATTTAAATGGAACATGAAAGATGAAAGACTGCATCATGAAATGAATCAGCAACAGCTTTCACTTCCATAATTGACATGGGAGTCTTAACCCGTGACACTGAATGCTACTGACTTCAATGAAAGCCTAACACGCTAAACCAAGTGATAACTTAGTAGTTGGTCAATCAATAACAATCAAAATCAAGGGTAAGCAAAGAGAAGTAGAAGTAAGATTATTATTATGAACATCTTCTATATTATCCTAAAAGAAGAGTGATAGTACAAGTGAGATGCAGAGGATTTTCAATATAATAGCAGCCACCAGCAGCACCATCAGCTACTCATGCAGTTCATCTAAAATAACAAACTTTACAGCTGCATTTTAGGCAGAGAACAAAAGTTTGAACTAAAAACTTCGCACCTTTGTACGATTTTGAGGACCTTTCTCATCTTTTGGAGGCAAGGGTTCTACAGCAGCCCTCTCAAGAAGTAGCAGCACATCATCTACCAAACCAAATGTGTCTTTCTCAATGCGAACAATAGGAACAGGTAATTCTCCGGCCTCTAAGTACCTGCCCTTGGTCTTCTTTCCCTTATTCTGACCTTCAAGGGACTTCAAACCACTATACAGTGAGTCCATGACAAGGGTAGATGTGACTTCTTTTTCTATGAAAAAATGCTTCACAACAACTTTTAAAATTGACTCTGTTTTCTCGCGGGTCATACGGCGCCTAGAACATTGGTCCATACCCAGCCAGAAAGCACGGAAGCTGAAAATTTATTAGAAGTTGCATTACAATATTGTGATAACAGAGGGAATATGCTTATATTGCTCCATGAAATCATACTGAGATTACAAATGAACAAGAGATGTTGAAGGAAAAGTGATTATAACAATGGAAGAGGTTACGACAACCTTAACCATTTTAATCCAATATCCTAAATGAAAAGAAATGAAAGTTGACAAATTTGAATTCATATATTCATCTTTCTTTCCAAGTAGCCAACATGATATCTCAAAACAAACTATCAAATCATACAAGACTTGACTAGAAATTTCTTCCATTTGAGAAAGAATGCAACAAGAAAACAGTACATCTTCATAGATTACACAAACAAAAACTATGTACTCAGAAGCACATCTAACCCCCTCCACCAACACCCCTCCAAGAAAAAAGAAAAGAAAGGAGACAGACAAAATACCTAGACCACTTTTCTTTATCCTCTATCAACTTTCCCAGCTTGGCCCTTCGTTCTTCCATAAAACGCCGGCAGATTTGCTCAACATTTGTCAAATACACTCGAACAAGTTCCCTTCGATACTGACAGTCAAGACAACGGAAAGGCCGGTCTGCTCTCTCCCTGCAAACCCATTGTTGAAAGTTTTATCAAGGAATGAATAATGGAATAATGCTCAAGGTCAGTAGATCCATCCGAACAAAGTAGACAACACAGTAGTAAGTTACATTTTAACAGGTTTATACATAAAAGGCTGAATTTTAAATGAAACGTATTATAGTAACTAATATTGACTTTGCTTTACATACTTATTTTGTCTCTGAGTAATAAATATCATCTAAGAGGATATAAATAAGCCTCTGAACCCAGAAGTTGACTCCTCTTGAAATCTCGATCAAATATAAGTAAATGGCATAAGAACCTTCAGAGGAAAATCACACAAATGGGAAGCCCTACAAGGCAATATAAACAAAAATGTACAACTGTACAAGATACCAAAAAATAAGCTAAAAAACGAAGAGGAACTCCCAGAAGTCTGCAGATACTTCATAATGTATTCACCCGTCCACTTTAAACATGGATACTTGAAGATAATCACCCATTCATGCTTTGGTAGCATAGTACCATGCAACTGCTCGCTGATATAGCCATTGGAAAAGCTAATATTCATAGACCATGGTTATTCCTTCAAAAAGGATATTCAAAGTGTTATATAAGCAAATACCTGATAACTTGAACTTGAGCTTTAATTATCAACGTATCAGAATCAATAAACCCATCCAACAACTTTGACAGCTCCATAAATTTCTTCCAACCCCAGTCATGCTCCTTCTTCCAGAACCGGTGTAATGTATCTTCATGTTTCAAAGAAATACGTTAAGGTTGTCTTTTTATAATGATGATGATAATTTTAAAGTAGCACGATAGTACTAATAACGATTATAAAAACTGTCTAATACCAGAATATTTAGATTTCTTAGGATCCTTATTCACCACCGCAATAGTAAACTGCGCAAAGTGGCTCCATCCTGTTCATAAGATCAATAACCACGTGAAAAGCTACATATCAACAAACTGAATTCATCCGATCATCAACAATTCAATGTTCCATACCTGGAAGAAGCTTGTCATGATTCGCAACACAAAGAAACAATGAGAGGTGATTGCAAACATCACAGCCTTGCGGGTAAATCAAAATATACCTATCAAAAACATTTATATTCCTCTGATCATTAGTAAAACATTTCAAATTGACATTACATTTTTGTCCAAATGCAGTGACCATCACAAGAAACTCGTAACATCCAATAACATAGAGACAAACTTGAAGAAAGTAATAGACAAAGAAAAAACAACAAATTGTTTAACCAATGGTGTGAAACGATCCAATGCTGGAAAATAAAAATTAAATACTGGATAGAGAGATTGTAATGGTTGCTTGCACAAAATGGACAAACAATATTTTAGGAAAAACCATGCAAGTGAACTGTTCATGTGAAGTTCTATTACATTTTAAATAGAAGAAGAGTTACCATATGGTACAAGAACCAATCCCATACTCATATCTCCAAAGCCTCTGGAAACACATTAAACTCTCAAAAAGGAGTTCAATAATAAACAAAATAATAAACAAACAAACAAACAAACAAATATGTAGGATGGCATCACACAAAAGCAATGTATTAAAACTCTCGTTTCACTAAAGAATGGAAAATCAGAAAACTGCACGTCTATAAAGAGCACCTTTCTAGGAATTTCTACATATGCATCCATAATGGGTTAAGATCCTCATAATACAATCACAACTTTCAAACTGATGTCCAAGTTAATAACATAAAGTAAATGCACACTAAACGTGCACGCAAATCAGATATAACATAAAAATGGAGTGGATTAAAACTTTGACTATAATACTCAGTGGAATATTTGTACAAAGAAATTCCATAAGATAAATCCAGATAGTTTTATTGACATACCATTTGAAGCCCCCAGCCTCAAATGCATCACTTCGATGCTCTCTTTTGTTCAGCTGAGAAAATTTCTCAATCTTCCAAGTATGTTTTCCATATAAATCAGAAGGTTTTTGTCCTGCAACAGTATAAAAGCTTTGTTGATAACATAGATCAGGAGCACTTCTTTCTATATAAATGAGGAAAAATAAAATCATATATTCAATAAATACATAGATAAACAATCAACATGCAGCAACTTTCAATTTCGGAAAAGACTGTCATAACTTTCAGCAGCAATGCTGTGCAGTACAACTTTAAGAAACACAAAATACTTAAGCAGAACAAGATAAAAATAATAATTAACATCCTGGATCATCAAATCATGGGGATTTAAGTTATTCGACAAGTAATTAACAGAAACACTATGCAACTTATCAGACCAACATAAGAAAATCCTTCTCCCAGGCCTCGACCAGAATGGAGGTCAAATTAAAAAGAATGAATAGCCACATTTAGAGTGACTTAAAACTCAACTCAAATAAATCGATATTTTTGCTACATTGGAGCCCTGTTCTTTCTTTCAGTACTGCAAAAAGGCTGTTACTTTAGTTTTAAACTCATTAAATTTCTTCAAGCGCATATGCTTTTCTTTAGTTGACTAATTGTGTTAAAAAAAAAAAAGTAAAAAAGCAAGTACAAAGAAAATAAAGAACACCACCAAAAAGGCTATCCACCAAACATTAATATAGGTATCCATCCCTCTCCATAAGCACATGGCTTCCAATGATTAAAGGTACACTTCCAGTATATGCATAGGTTCAAACCTAAAAGATCCGTACTGTATCCTAACAAACATGCAGCTCTAATAACAATAGAAAGGAAAATCAAAGCAAAAACATAAGAATTTGCATAAGACGCCAACTCCGATGAAGAAAGGAAATGAGACTAAAATTAGCCAAATTGGATACACTAGTTTGTTATGATACGGACTTTAGCCTTGTATAGAGATTTACAATAAAAAGATCTGTACAAAAGATTTTAAAAAATCTATTATAAAGACGACAAATAGTAGCAGGTAACATTGGGGAACCGTCAAAATTTTGCAAATATTTCCCATCAGGCATCAAGCCCAGCCATATATAATATGGGCATACAAGGCATGTGAGTGCAGATTTCAGTAATGAGATATAGATTCTACTCATAAAAATATTTAGTGAGCCAAAAACCAGTAAATGTAAATCAGAAACATCTCGCACAAAAATGCTAATAAAAATTTGGGATTCTTCTTCCTTCTCTTCTCACTTTTTCCATCTCTATCATTCTTCACATCTTCTCGAATGTTCATTTCACGGACTATAATATGTGGTTACGTTAGATTCCAACTAGACTTCAAAACAAGAAATGCCATAGATAGACCAAACAAATCATGCTTCAGTCGTGAAGGATTAGCTATCAAGATCACACAACAAATGTACGCACAATTCCAACTAGAAAAGTAATCCATTGTGAAAAATCAAAACAAAAAAGCACACCATCATTATCATCATCATCGTCAGTGTCCCAGTAAGGAGGAGAAGTGGATGTGCTTCCACTTTCGACTTGATCCAAAGATCTCCATTCGGCTAATGCTTCCCCAGATTGAACTCTCAGCTGTTGTTGTTGTCCACTTGAAACTCCTTCAGATGACTTTCCAACACCAGCCTCCTCAGGTGTAACTCCAGCCATTTTTCCTCACTCTCTTAGTTCCTACCACCACTCCCTCTAATTCACCTGACTCAATCAAAGCTAAACACATTTATTATTAATATTACATAAATAAGCTCTTATACACTAACGTCCAAACTTTTTTCTTGTCTTGAAAGCAAAAATGTCATGCTTAAACGTGCTAATTATATATTTGGAAAGGCTGGTGTATACCAAACCTCATCCAAGCTCGCACATTGAAAAGAAAAAATTATTACAAGCTAACAGATAAAATAGCAAAACTACAGAAGCAACAAATAGAATACCAGTAAGTATCATCAACAAATGTTCTTAAACTGAATAATCCACATCAGAGGACACAATTCCGATAAACCCTAATTCCTAAAGTCCCAAATTAAACCAATAATATGTGACAACATCTTCCAGAACAGGCATCCATTGAATATGAAATAATCTATATCTATCGTTATAAATCCAGTATTTTTTCCGAAATGAACTTCATAAACCTAATCAGTCCCAAAACCCATCGCAGATATCAATGAAATTCAATAATCCTGATAAGTCGCGCAATCCCTCATTTAGAAAACCAGAAACTAAACCAATAAATAAAAGGAAAACAAAAAACAAAAAATGAATCAATAAACCAAGTAAAAATACAATAAACAACAGAATGATATGGGCACATCTCAGATCGAAGATAGAAGATGAAACAGACCTTATGCGGAAAATAGAAAGGAACTTTGCTGATAGCAGTCGATAGAGATTAGAGAAAGGAAAAAAGTAGGAGCAGAAATGAGAGCACAAGCGGAGGAAATGATGATATACACGCAAATTTACTAACAATATATATAAATGTGTATAATTTTAATTTCCCCCAATAGGGTTTTCATATAATAATCACATATAAGAGAAGGTGAAATATTTTGGTACAATTGAATATCATGTCATTTGAAAAAAATGGCTGGAAAAGAAGATTCAGTCAAAAAAGAAAGTAATAGTTTTTATATTGTAATGTAATGTAATATAAAGAGGAAATTGCAAATTTGGTCCGGTCGCAATTTTAGTCTCAAGAGGCGCAATTTCAGTTCTTAACTAATTTTTGTTGCGGAATTGGTCCTAACTCTAACTGACCGTCAAATCACGGTTAACTCTCAGGACTGAAATTGCTCCTCTTGGGACTAAAATTGCGACCGTCCCAATCTAACGGGACCAAATTTGTAATTTCCACATTTATATTATTATATATATATTTGAATATATATATATATATTTAAATTTATATTTTTTATACTAAAAAGTATATAGTTAAATGATGATTTTTTAAATATATTTACTATTTAATTAAGAATATTTGAAATATAGAAGACATTGTATTGCAATTAAATTTTTTAATATATTAATTATAATATCAATTTAAATTTATTTAAATTTATATGTATCAAATATATTTATGTTTATATTTTTGTTATATTAAAAAATATCTAAATATTTATTAACTTATTTAAATATATATATATATGTGTGTGTGTGTGTGTGTATATATATTATATACAATTGACCAGTCCTATCAACCAATTTTGACTGGTTCATTGGAAACCAATTCGTTCAAAGAATTCCACCATTTGACCGATTCTAGATTCAATAGTCAGTTTAACTCAATTTTAAAAATAATAGTAGTTGATATTATTTTTATTTTTATTTTTATTTTACATTTTGAATTTTTATTAATTTCAAAAATTATATTTTTATTTTTTATCAACCAATATAATTATAATAAAATAAAATGTTATTTTGTAAATATATTTATTATTTAATTATAAATATTTTAAATACAAAAAATATAATAATATAAATTCAAATATATTTAGACTTATATTTGTTATATTAAAAAATATAAATATTTATTAACTTATTTAAAAAATATATATATTATTGACCAGTCCATTCAACTAATTCTCATTGGTTCATTGAAAACCAATCCGTTTAAAGGAATCAAACAATACAAATTCTCGATTCAACAACAAGTTTGGTCGAGTTTTTAAACCAATAGTAGTTAATATTACTTTTATTTTTATTTTTGTTTATAATTTTATTAACCTCTAGAGTTCTATATTTCTAATAAAATTAAATAATTATTATTTTTTATATTTATTTATTATTTAATATAAATTAATTTTAAATATAGAAAACATTGTATAGTAATTATTATTTTTTTGGTCTCAAAACTAAATTTTTACTATCAAATATTGTTATATACTCATGGAATAAAAATTGCAACAAAAAATAGTAATAAAGCTATTTTTTTTTTTAATATTTTGGACTAAATTTGCAACAAAACCAATCTTATGGGATCATATTACAATTTTCTCCCTTTTCAAACTAATGACTAACGGTGAATTGACGGTCCGTTAGATTTAGGACCAATTACGCAACAAAAATTATTTAAGGACTGAAACTGCGCCTCTTGTGACTAAATTGCTACCGTCCCAATCTAACGGGACCAAATTTGCAATTTCCTCGTAATATAAAAATAATTATTAATGATGATGTAAGAGAAACGGTAAATTATTTTAAGGTTGGTAATTTTTACCAAAAATCGAAAACCAAACCGACGAGAAAATAATTTGAATAGGTAACTGATTATCAATTAAAGACGATAATCCGGTTCAGAATCGGTTCCGCCCCATAAGGGTTCGGCAAAAATCAAACAAAACAGATAAAATTTAACACAATATCAAATATTAAGTAAAGTATCACTGTCATTAATCAGTATACCAGTATCACGATTCTCAATTCTCTCCTAATTCACAAATGTCAACCCTCCTCTGCAACTATCACTCCAAATCACAGTATCACACCTCAAATTTACAAATATGTTCGGCAGCTCACGACTAGCTTCTCCCAGCCTCCGCAATATGTGCTTGTGATTTGTGTCTCCCAGGTTCGACCTATAATTTTGCGATATGTGCTTCTCCCAGTTTCTTAAACGATTTAATTGAATTGTTTTTGTTTGTGTTTAACAATTTTTCAATAAATGCCATGAGATTTTGCTATGTAATCTTCATAGATGAAATACTTCCTTCGAGAAGCTGGTGTCGTGATCGATAAACTTGCCATCTCTCTTGTGCTTTCCTTGCGTGCCTTGGCCGGCGATCAGAGGATGGCCTCTGTTGTGGGGTTTAGGCCGGGCGAACGTTCATGGCCGTCCTATTCGGTGTCGAGGTCGATGTCCTCTCCCCCCCTCCCCCCCCCCTCGGTTTTTCACGTTTTTGCCTCGGGGGTGGGCCTTCTATTGGGGCTGCGGCTTTTCCATGGTTGGTAGGTCGATTGGGTGTTGATTGAAGGTGGTTGGTTGCTTAATCGGAGTTGAGGGTCTCAAATCTGGCTAGCCATAGCTATTTTGGAGTTTGCAGTTTCTGATGTATGGTAACAGGATCGACATAGGTCTTTTAGAATAAAGAGTGAAAGATGTATACTAGAAAAGTGGAAACTTTAAACATAAGTGGGAGATTGTTAGTGTGTATAATGAAAGTTTGGCTTTAGATGTTATTCACACTATTTATGTTGAATGAAATTTCACGTTTGATTAAACAAAGTTATATGTTCTATTGCTTTGCACTTAGATAAATGGTTCATCACGGATGAACAAAAGTTCATTTATCGGTTACTTGTGAAACATAAACAATTTGGTTCACAACCTACATGAAAATTGAACAAGCCATCAGAATGGTTGTAGTGTGGACGGTACAGTTTGCCAAGATAGATTACTGCGAAGGGTACAAGTATGTACTTACTGAGTCTTGTCTGGATGTGCCCGGTAAGGGGTCAATGGACCAAGAGAAGGAAGAGTATGCGAAATGAAAGAAGGATGATGAGATGACAAAGTGTTACATCTTGGCATCAATGTCAAATGTACTTCAACATCAACATCAATCTATGGCCTCCGCTTCCAACATACTCTTCAATCTCAAGGATCTATTCGGCCACCAGTCACAAGCTACCCGAAAAGAAGCCATGAGGGTATTGATGAACATGCGCATGCGTGATGGCACTCCCGTGAATGATGATGCTCTTGCGATCATGGCCCAACTCAATGAGCTGAAGGTTCTATGGGATTTTATTGACGGATGCTCCAGTCTCTGCTAAAAAAATTCGATCAGTTCTGGTTGAACTACAACATGAATAAGATGCAGTTGTCTCTTCCAGAGCTGCTTGCGGAACTCCGATCGGTGAAGGGCCTGTTTCGTCAGAGTATTCATGTGCTAGTCGCTGAGCAGGCTGGACCGTCTTCGTTCAGATCAAATAAGTGTAGAAAGAGGAAGAAGTCTGGACCAAAGGCGAAGGCATATGTGGTTGAGTCGCCCCGCGACCGGCCCCTCAGTTAATGGCAAAGAAGTCGAAAGGCAAGTGCCACCGGTGCTTGCAACAAGGACACTAAAAGGCCAACTGCCCTCTCCTCAATAAGGGCGACGGAGGTAAATCTCTTTCATTAGTCGTGGAAACATGCTTAGTGGTGTTATCTACTAGTACCTGGTGTATAGATACAAGAGTCATCATTCATGTCTGCGATTCATTGCAGGGTATGAGCAAACATAAAAATAATATTATTGGCGCGTTGTAAAATATAAATATATGTTCACAGCCTAGACAAAATTGAACTATCTGTTGAGAAAGGTTGTAGTGTAATTTTTGGGTTAATTTATCTTTGGCTAACGAATTACACTGGTACATCTCGGATGTACTGAACGGACCTACAAGAGGAGAATAATAATTTATAATGGTCAAGTAAATAATCTATACCTCAGTAATTGATGTATTTTCTTAACCTGTAAGACAATAAACGGGCATATATATTCAACACTTGCTTGTTTGATTTACCAAGGGTGATACATATTCAATTAGGTTGACATACTTGGTATATTGGTAAGTGATGTTGTTTACATGATGTGTTGTTATGATTGTTTGCGGTAATTGTGTCCTGATTCGTCAGGTTTATGACATCCCGAAATGAGCTCAAAAATGATTATTACTAGTAATTATCCTGTGCATGTGCACAGATGTACATAAAATATAATAAGTAATATTTGAGAATTTAATATTAAAATTTTAGAATACATTTTTAAAATTTAATCATTAGAAAAAATAAATTAATGATTGTTTATTATTATGAACAATTGTTAATTATCATTAGATAATAGCAGTTTGATTATTATTATTATTATTATTATTATTACAAAAACAATTGTTTATAAGATTCTAAAGTTGTTTGACTATGCTATTAAAACAATTTACTAATTGTTTTTAAAGAACTTTTTTCATGAAATACAAAAGAAAAAAAGATAATATTGATGTTAAAATAAATAACTTGAAACAATAGTTTATAATTATAGAATTTATATTTATTGTGAATTATTATTAGTTGGTATTAGCATTAATTATTATATAATATAATAGAAAAATATATGATTACACTCAATAGGATGTATTAATGTGAGAAGTAAAAAACATTAATGATAAATTTTGTAACCGAAAATGGAGGGAAAATTTTAGAGGTTTTATTAAATAGGTTTTCTTAAATGTTATTAGCTAGTAATTATATATATATATATTTAAGCTCTGCAGACGGATTATTTTCTGACATAATAATAAAGAACTGAGTAATACTAATTTCGAATAATAAAAGTTTATTAATTATATTGTCAGTAATTAAATTAATAAAAATAAATAAAGACCCAACGCCTTTCAAGTTGGTTGTATTTTACGTCGTCCTTCGACTTCTTTAACTTGTAATTGAGCGTCAGCTGAAGCTGTTGGATAATTTGAGCCCTTAGCGGTTGGTCCCGTTTGGAAGTTATTGCTTCCTTCTTTTCTTCTTGGTTTGAGATCTACAATTAAAGATTGACAAAAATAAGTATAATAAAAATATAATTATAGAGCGTAACCAAAATTGAAAAGTTCAAACTTTAATGCCACGTCACCAGCACAACATTAATCTTAGTAGATGTTGTAGCACAAATTGTTATTTTTACCGAGTACCGAATCAAGGATTCGTTTCCCGGGTCGATCTCTCGAGGAAGGCGGTTCGGAATTTAACTTCGGTATTGATTTCACAAAAAAAGAAAATAAAAACCTAAACACTCTAATCAGAAATGAGGAATATATTATCAACTAAGAAATCAACAGCAAACAAAAACGAACCTAAAGTACGAACTAGAAAGGGATAAAGAAGCTAGGAAATCGGGGATAATTTATTCAAGTTCTAAGCAAAACCGGGCAATCAATTGTTCGGTTCGAGATTGACACTCTTGCTTAGACATCTAGCAGTTCACTCCCAATAAGTCTTCGTAACAAGGGATTGAACATAGACGAGCTAGCTCGAGCATACAACACATGTCAATTATCCCAGTCTCAATAACTTTCCGTAACAAGAGACGGGTCATCGACAAGTATGTATTTCAATCCAAAACCTATAGACTATTCAGTTACGAAATCATCTATCTCATGCGAGCCTCGGTCTACGACTTCTCCCCTTTCGGTTCTAAAAGTCGCTAATTCAACTAGAAGGTGTTTAATCAACTAATCATATAGAACCAACAAACCCTAACTCGATAAATTAACATTCAATTGATACCAATTGCAAGATCGAAGTGTCACCCTTCGATTATATCAAGTTATCAAGTAAGAATTAATTAACCCTAATTAAAGCAACTCGCACAAGCAGGAACAAATTAAAGCCCAATAATAACGAAATTAATCAAGAACAATCATCCCCTATCCCTAGCAGAAAGGATTAGCTACTCATTATTGATTCAACACAACAAAGTATTTCTCCTAAATTAACCATTATGCATGAATTAATTCAAAGAAAAATTAAACTTACAATCAATCCAAGTCCAAGAGTTGAATCCATAATACAAGCTTAATCCTTGAAAGAAAATAAAATAAAGTGGTGGAAGAAGAAGAAGAAGAAGAAGAAGAAGAAGAAGAAGAAGAAGAAGAAGAAAAAAGAAGATGAAGAAGAGGAGGAAGAAGAAAATGGAGAATGGAGAGGAAGAAGATGGAGAATGGAGAGGAGGTTTTCAGGCTAGGGCACCCCCAATCGCACCCCTCTTTCTCCCTCCCTGTCAAAAATCGCAGAAATTGGGTTTTAAAGGTTGAAACGCGCCCTCCACGGCCGCGGAGAGCTCCGAGGCCGCGGGATTTTCATTGCTGAAATTTGGGACCTGGCAGCTTTTCTTCGCCGCGGCCGCGGCGAAGAAAGGGTCGCGGCCGTGGAGACCAAAATCTGCACTGCACCATCTTACGATTTTTGCTCGTTCCGGTTCGTTTTAACTCAGAATTGAGTTCCGTTTTTTCCTACGTGTCGCGAACGAACCCCTCTATCTAATGATGTCAGCTTCCCCACAAGATTCTCGAAAACCTGTTCTCCCGAGGTCTTCAAACTACACACCAAAAATGAAAAGAGAACAGAAAAAGACCGGAAAACAAACGGAAAACATCGCAACACTCAAATGAACGCAAAACACATAATAAATGACAAAATGATCCTAAAACCATCTAAATGACTCAATATGAGGGACAAAATAACAACGAAAAATGCAACAAAAATGGGACAAACAGTAGAACTTCACGAGGAAAACTAGTTATCATTTCAAGAAACACCAACGTATTGATACAAAACAAAATTGATAGAAATTCACATACATACAACCACATAAAAAAAAAGATAGTGTGTTTTGTCCATGGCAGGTTACATGGCATAATCAAGTCATCAACAAAAGCTCTTCTCATCCAATATCAAACATAACAAACAATCAAGCTTCATCAAATCCCAAAATTTTGTTTATTGAAACAAAATTAGATATACACATAACATATACACAAATATAACAATATCAAATTCCCAATTGATATAGAGAAAAAGAAATAAAAAAAAAATACATTTTTCGCTTGAATTTGCAATAACCAAAAATTACAGAATATTATATAATACACCTTTTAGGACGAGAGACAACAAGTTCGGAGTTCTTCTATATTGAACGGTTAACAGTCGAACATGGACACGACACTCCCAAGCCCAGCGCCCTGCTACCGAAGACAACAAACTAGGAGCTCCTAGACAACAACCCAAAATCTTCGCCGCCGCCACTTGATGCAACCGATTGATCCCTCCCGTGTCGTTGGTATTTTGACATTTGAAGCAGCAAAATCGATATTGATCGAACTAAACGAACTTTTAAAAATTAAAAATTGAATACCTACTCTAATGTAAAAACTGAATCGATTATTTCACTCGATTTTTCGATTTGATCCAACTTTGCAAATTCTACTTAAACCAAAAGTCAATCAACTTTTTTTGTTTAAAATTAACTACTTTTGCAATTAAATCCAAATTATATCCAAGCATCCCTAATTCCATTAACAAGTGGTACGTGTGTCGGTAGAGAGTCCAACTCAAGCATATCAGATTTCATTCATAGCCACGTTAACAACTCTAGTTATTATCAAACCTTATTAATACAAACACTCATGAAAATACAAATAACTAGCAACTCTAAAAGCAGGACACTTTCACGTTTACTCAAATTCAACCTCTGTAAACCTTCTCTCTCCAGCAGAAATCTGAAGGAAGAAAGGGGCCGAGCAAGAAAATGGGGTTCTTTTCTTTTCTTGGGAGAGTGCTCTTCGCCTCCATCTTCATCCTCGCGGCATGGCAAATGTAAAAAATTGCGCAAACCCTCTTTCTCTTAAGTTCCCTATGTTTTGTCCTCTTCATTATTTGTTATCAGATCTGTTGTGTATTTACTTCTGCGGTGGAGAATGTGTTGTTGCATCTTTCTGTGATCTATAACATCGCTTTTTGAGACTTGCTGCTTAGTTTCATATGCATCTGTCGTTGGTGAGAGTTATTAAATCGTGTCATGAATATGTGGAGACAAGTTGTTTCCAATTGGAGATTATTACCCTTCTGCTGGAGATGTGTTTCTGTTGATGGGCCTGCAATTTTGAAATTTTCAAGATGTTTCTCTGTGTGTTTGTGTGTGTGTTTTTTATTTTTTATTTACTTTTTTGTGGATCTAGTTTCTTGATTGTCACTGCTTGTGCTAAAAATAGTTTGAGGTCGCTTGGCTGGTTTTGTCCTTTATATTTTCAGATTTTTTTTTTCGATTTTGACGATAAAGAACCTACTTTTACCGTAGGACATGCCATCACCACTACCTCTTTTGTAATGGGTATTTTCTGCACTGATCTATCAAGCTTTTCACTGAACTGTCGTCTAGTTTTACTCGGAAATAGGAAATTCAACATTCATGTCTGCCCACTAGAGCTGGCTCTCCGAATGCTGACTAATAATTGCACTCATCCAAATTCTCTTTGTTGAATTTTGGATCTGAGGAAAAGAACATAGGGTAATTTTCTTTAAAGAATGTGGATTCCTTGTGGGTTAAGTTCTTTGTCTAGGGGAGGAAAGGGAATAAGTTACTGTAATAAAATGATGCCTTCTTGTAGAATAAAACTGCAAGTTACTGAAATTGAAATATCATCGTTAATCACTTATTCATTTTGCATTGTTGACTAGCTGGCTCACTATGTCTTCTTATTCATAAGGGTTCTGCTGCTTGTTTTAGTTCATCTTATCATGACGGTTCTCACATCTTTTTAAAACCAATGGAGTAACTTTTAGCCGTTTATTCTGCGGGCAAGCATTAATTTTATCTTTTGTTGAACCTATATGTACTGCTAGGAGAGAGACAGAGCAGTTAATGTTTTGGTGAAGGACTAAACTTAGAAGATAATTGACGAGCTTATGCTAGGCATGCTTTATGATTGTATGCTGTGTTTGGTGCTTCTGATACGTGAAGTCGGTCTTAAATTGATGTTTCAGTTGGGTTAAGTTTATTAAACCAAATGCTCGTGTTCTTCAAGGGCAAGAGATTGAAGAGCAATAAGCAGTCCCAGACCATACCTATTTATATCTTTTTTTTTTCTTTAAAAGGATATAGAACAACAAACTCAACCAACATAAATTAAAATGTTTTGTGCGGAGTTTGCTTTAACGGTAATGATTGATGCTTGAACATCCCCCTATTATAAATGCCTTCAAAATTTTAAATAGTTCAATATTATAGGTTACATACTTGGAACTTCCGTTATCTTACATATAGGCCATTAAACCTATTGAATTAATAGGACATGGAGTTCGAGAGTTGAATTTTGAACTGAAGTGAGTTAACCATTTTTAATGCTAAGCATTTACCTTATCTATAGCTACTTTAGGTAACTAGTTTTCGTGTCCGTGGAGTAAAATATTTTATGAATTGAGACTAATATGGAAGCAATTTGTGTTTGATACTCATTCTTCTCAAAGTCGATTGAAATTTTGATTAGTTTTCTTTGTAGAACTTTTAGTTGTTCTTTTGCTCTATTAAATCTCATTGAGATGATAAGTTCAAGAATCTAATGAATCTCGATTATGAGAATTCTGTTTGAACCTTTTATTTTGCCATCAAGGACTAGGTACCATTTGCTGTAACAACAAAACATCATTCAAAATGCAAGCAAACTAACTTTGATTTTGAGCCATGGGCATCATTATTGCTTGCAATAATTATACTGCATCATATGTTCTTTTAATTTGTGGTGGACATATGATCATAAATAAATGACAGTCAAAATATTTTATTTGGGAGATTGACTTCTCAAGGAAAACACTCTGATTTTGAAATTATAATCGAGTGTCTTATCTTCTTTAACAAGGACTTCGCTTTTCAGGTTCAATGAATTTGGGGAGGATGGGGGGCCTGCAGCAGAACTGTGGGCTAAAAAATTGACTACTGTGAAGAATTCGATCAATGGCATAATTGGAAACGGCAATGTGCACATTGATGTAAAGCCTCAAATACTATTGAACTCGCTTATTTTTTTCTTTTCATAATTTTTTCCACTCTTTAAGTTTATGTTCAACTTTATCGACATTGTGTATACTGATATCTGAATACGCACATTATGCCAGGCAAGGACTTTTGTTGCAGTATGTATTTCTTTACAGGGCTTAGGCGGTCTTCTGTTTGTCCTCGGGAGTAATTTCGGTGCTTTTCTTCTGGTACAACTTCTTAACCAACTTTCACATCCAATAATCCCATTTTTTTTTTTTTTTTACCATCGAGAAAATTTATTGTTATTGATCATTAATCCTTACCTTTCATGTGAATGCTGCAGATACTCTACTTGATACTGACAACCCCTTTACTGTACGACTTCTACAACTTCAAAGTTAGCGAGCCTAAATTTTTCGGACTCTTGCATGAGTTCCTTCAGGTGCCTTTACCTTATCAAAATTTGCCAAAAAATTTTGTTCAAATTCATTTATCCATTTATTATTTATTTGTTTGGAAACATTATTTCGTGTCAACTCAATGTGAGTTGTTGTGATAGTGTGTGGCACTCCTTGGCGGACTCCTATTTTTCATTGGGATGAAAAACTCTATCTCGAGGAAGCAACTAAAGAGAAAGAACCCTAAACCGAAGACTGCTTAAACGTGTTGAAGAAGAAGACCGAGGCTATTTTGGTAAATGAATCACGGGTTTCAGTCGGTTTTAGAAACTGTAGTGGAGGTTGGTTGTGATTGATATGTCCAGTATTTGATTTTGTGTTGGACACTGGTCTGCATTTCCTTAAAGACAGCAGCAAATAACTTTGTTGTGATTTATGATGTTTACCTTCATTTGCCTTGTGAAAGAAATGTGGTAACGTAGAAAGTTTTTCCCACAATTTTCAGCTTCTTCATTTTTTTTTGTACATTAGGGCAAACTGCAATAAAGGTGTTCACATTAGCACACATTGTGAGTTACAAGAAGTTTGCATACCAAAAAAAAAACAAAAAAAAAGAGAAGTTTAGAAATAGTGATAATATGAGATGTTTGCATACAAAAAAATTTACTCAAAATGAGTTTTTTTTAATCAGAGTTAATGTTAAAAAAAATGATGGCTACTTGTTAGTGAGATTTTGATTTTATATTAAAATAATATTTAAAATAAAACAATTAAAATTGATTTGATATTTATCTGTGTATATATAAAAAAAATAACCATTTACTAAGAACTAGTACGTGGCCCGTGATATTAAATGAGTTATTTTTACACTCTTGTTCGTTTAAGTCTAAAAAATATAGGGTTATTATATATTTTCTACCTCTTTTAATCAAAGTTAAGTCTAAAAACCAATAGGGTTATTATAAGTTTTTTTCTACTCTTTTAATCAACATTAAGTCTAATAAACAATAGGGTTATTATAAGTTTTTTTCCACATCTTTTAACCAGCGTTGTTTTTTTAGCCAGAACATTAAATATGAGCATGTTAGGGCTAGCTTGTAAAATAATTAATATATTATCTCACTAAAACATTTATACTAATAAAGATTTAATTTTAGCATATAAATTTATCCCTTGATATAAAAGAAAGTAACAGTATTACACTTTTACTTATTGTTGTTCACTATATAATATTTAATTATTATTTTATTATATAAAAAAAGAATACTGTTAAATAGTGTAGTAGAATTGTTATAGAATTATGTGAATTATTTTTTTTACAATATGGATTTAGTATCTTTTTATGATTTGATAATATAACTATAATATATTTTTAATGATACAATCTGAAATCGAATTACAGAATTTCAATACATAAATAATAAAATTTTTGGTAAAAAGATAAGAAGGAAATTTCTGGAAATAGTAATAACATTAATTGCAGTTGACTTTTCTGAATACTATTTGTAGTAAATATGATCCCTTTTTATATAAGTATAGATATGTATAATATGTATTCGTTTAGAATTTTGAGTGTCACTTTGTGATTTTTTAAGATTTGAGACTTTTAAGATGATCAAATTTTAGAGGACTACTATGAAATATTAAGTGTGAATGTGAGATTTAGAGTGAAATTTTGTATAATTTTTTTTTCTTTTAAATTATAACTAATCTTAAAAAGACCTAACAAATCTTGATCTCAAATAAGTTAAATATTTAAGGATATTTTAAGATTTTTTTAATTTTTATATATCAAAGATGAACAACTTTTGTTACCAAAAAATGTGGACACAATTTACATCCCGTCCAAATATCAGTTTTATTCTAAAATAAAAATTGCACGTGGCTTTATCCAATTTACTCACTTTTTTTTAAAGAAAAAAATTATTCAATAAGATTGGAAGAATTGGTTAAGAATTATACAACTATTTGTTTTCAAAATTTATATCCAATTTATACGGTTTTTAAGTTAATTTGTATTTAGAATTTTTTTTTTATAAATAATTGACACATTTTTTGCATAAAAATCTCCAAATTTGTAACCAAAAAATATATGATTTAAATATTAGTAAAAAAAATAAAATATAATACGAAAAAAATAGAATTCAAATTTTGCCATAAGAATCAAATTAGTTACCAAAAAAATAGGATTCAGATTTTGTTACTAAAGATTCACATGTATTTTTTTGAACTTTCCATTAATAGTAAGTCAAAACATTATTTTTTAGGTCAACCTTACTATTTTTGTATTTTTCCAACAACCTCTTTATATTACTATAGATAGTAGCAAAAGATTTGGAAACATTTAATGCATATTTTATTTGAAAACTTTTTAACTATATACATATTAAAATTTATAAATAATCGTAACATATTAAAATTAGGCGAAATCAAGTTGATGTATTAAAATTTGTCGATAATGTTTTTAACCTTTATTTAATTATATAAATAATATAATTTAATATAATTTTACCATTTATGAGATAACGGTCACATCATTAAATAATTTTACTAATGACAAGATAATAAAATTAAAACATATTAGTTATTCTTTAAATTTTAACATGTGATTTATTTGTATATTATTGCCAACCATGATAATTTTTTTATTATTTTTTTTATTTGTTTCTATAATGAATTTATTATAAAATATATTTCTATTGCATAGTATGTTAAATAAACTATAACGCTTTAGGATGAAAATTAGAAAAATTTCTTGATCATGTAAAGGATTTATTTTTTGACAATTGCTAAATCAATTATTATTTTTGGTAGTTATTAAATAATTTCTCCAAATCACGAGCGATTAGAATCTTTAGGAGTTTATTTTCTTTTCATGTGTGATCAACACAAACTCTAAATTCCGAATCGCCTTTCTCGAAAGATCGATCCTTAAGTTCGAAATTCATACCATACTCTATAAAAAGAAAAAAATACTATAATAATAATAATAATAATTTGCTAAAACATAACCCACAGTTTAACGTATATATATACCTACAAAAATTGCAGTGTCATATCATATGTATAAAAACTCATATAAATTATCTTTGACTGGTAATTTACTTGGAACAATAATTTTGAAATACTTTTGTCCCAACACACAATTTGACATAGTTTAACAAATATATGAACCTACGGGGCAACACAGTACGTCGCAACCAGTATATCGTCCACTTAACTCAACTTATCAATTGTTAATTACTAGCATATATACAGGTCACATTGTACTTTACTTTGGATTTTATTTTACTTTTGTTTTTCCTTTTTGGATTTCCATTTCTGCAGGCAAACAACTATATATATATATATTTATGTAGTTATTATATTACGTTGAGTTAAAAACATTTCGCATATAATGGTTTAGTTGATGTAACTAATGGCCAAATAAGGAATCATGATACATACAGAAAATATTTTTTCTGTGTGTAGGATCAATAGATATGCATGCTGTATTATTATTATTAATGTGAATACATCAGTAACATAGCACGAAGAAAGCAGGAATTAGCATTGACTTTGTAATATAGTGTTGTAAAGAAAAGACACATACAAGAATTGATGATGAATGAGTGTACAGATATTATATAGAAGATTAATGAGATGTAATCAACAGGCCTGCACTTTTGGGTGGTGAAAACAGTGAGGCACCAAAGAGTGAATGCCATGAGACAATCTATGGTGATGATGATGCTGATGGTATTTTCCGGCAACTGTCGGTCGATCGGCCTTGTTGACAAAGGGATGGTCGAGAAGCATATCAACTTTCCACCTGGCCGTCGGATCTTTCACCAAACACTTTGCCATAAAGTCTTTAGCCTCTTTGGATATTCTATTGTTCGTCGGAATCTGGGGAATCTGGTCACTGCACCCAATCTTGAAGAGAACATCCTTCGGCTGGGCCTTGCTGTCGAAAGTCCATGGTGATTTTCCGGTGAGCATGTGTAGAACCGAGCAGCCCAAGGCCCAAACATCCGACTCCGGTAAGTACTTCTGTTGGGCTATCGACTCTGGGGCCGCATACATAACCGTGCCCCTAAAATCATCACAACTACTATTTTCGTTGAACCTCGTCTTGCAGCAGCTCCCGAGATCCGCCAGCTTGGCGTCTTGGCCGACAAGCAACACGTTGTGAGGCTTCACATCACAGTGAATATAACCGGCCTTGTGGATGTGAAAGAGTGCCGTGAGTATGGATTTCGTGCAGCGGCTGACCGTGATTTCTGGAAGGCCTTTGATGTTGATGTGATCGACAAGGCATCCACCGGAGGCATACTCGAGCAATATGTTGTAGAGTTTTTCCCCGTTTTCGGTTGTGATTGAGTCCCCAAAGCAGCGGAGGATAGAGGGGCATGACTGTAATTTTTCGAGCAACTCCTCCTCCTTCCTCAGTGATTCGCATTCGGAACATTTGGCGGATTTGACAGCAATCAACGGCGGCAAATTATTATCTTGGTTGGTTGTGGCTATGGAGGCGAACCCAAAACCACCCTTTCCGAGGGTTTCTCCTCTAACCCAACTCATTCTCTCTCTCTCTCTCTGATTTTCTCTGCGTGATTATTACTCTTTGTCAATTGTTTTCTCTCAAGGCCAACTCTCTCTTTAACTCTATATATATGGTTTTGGTTTGAGTAATGATCAAGACTTCTTCAAGTATTTAGGGTCTGCGTTTTATGTGATTTTGCCGAACTATCCTCCCTCCTAATAGAAACTTCTCCTCTCTTTTTCCAATAAATATCATTTTTTATTTTATTTTTTTAATTTATAAAACTATCTCCAAGAATTAACATTATGCACCCGACCCGATTTACATAAATCTTTCTTTATACTTTATATTTAATTTAGAGTTATCTAACTACCTAATATATTCCTAATTAATCCTTTTTTATCGCTTTTCTCATTAATAATTTGTTACCATAATTTTATTTTCTTTCATAATTTCAATTTTTTGAGATATTTTTTTATAGCGATTTTAAAATAAAACCACAAGCACAACCAAGCTCCCATGATATAATCAAATTCAAAGCAAATAACCATATACAACCTGATTTCTTGAATATTCAATGATGTACAATACCCCCAATGAGCCTCCAAATCAACGACTAACCATCTAAAATCATTATATTTTCAACATAAGCTCACGAACCTTCGATGCACCTCTCCCACCCTTAATATATATCACTTAATATATATCACTCAAGGATGACAAAAGTATACCCAATATAAATTCAAATAGGGCAAAATTTCATTTTTGGTCCTATAACTTGGCCACAGTCCAAAAAACCACCCCTATATTGACCACTTTCAATTTAGGTCCTATAACTTGTCAATTTAATCATTTATGGTCCTATTTTATCCGGCAGCGGGATTAAATTTTGACGTGGCATTTTTTTATCCGATGTGGCATGATTATGGTTTTACGTGGCAGGATACGACAAGGCGCGAAATGAATCAGATAATTCCCTCCCAAATGTGCAACTTAATCGAACAAAAACCCTCAATTGAACCCCAATTTCTCAAAAACCCCAATTTCTCAAAACCCTAAAACTGTATTCCACAATCATCAAATCGGCGAAGGACCTCTCTACTCTCAATTGAACCGACTGTTTTCTCAATTTCCACTAAAGAAAATCTTCAAATCTCAACTCCCGAAATTCCACAAAAATCGAATTTGCTTGAAATGGTGAGGAAAAAATCTAAATCGGCGGCGAAGACCTCTCAGTCTCAACCACTGAAACAACAATCGAAATCGGCGAAATCGGCGATGGAGACCTCTCAGTCTCAACCAGTGAAGCAGCAATCGAAATCGGCGATGGATAAAACATCTCAGTTTGATGACAATCTCAGTTTGATCGAGAAAGTTGCTCTAGGAGTTAAAGTCCCAAACTGCGAGATGAAATTGCGGCGAAAAGAGCTTGATTACCTTCCCCCTCCTAGATATGGTTAGTATAATTGTTGAAATTTGGGTTTTTAAAAATTAGGCTTTATAATTTTCGAAATTAGGTTTATAATTTCTGAAATTAGGGTTTTTTTAGACTTTGTTTATTGTATTTTGTTTATTGTACTTTCTGAAATTAAGGTTTACATTTATGTTGCTAATGAACAAAAATTGCTTTTTGATTTGTAGGAATCGAAAGTGAGTTTTTCACATTTGGTCTACATTATGGAGGTGAATTTGACCAAGGTCACGACTATGCAGCATATCTAGGAGGTTCTTCAATTATCTTTGATTTTGTTGACCATACAAAGGTATGTCTTGATGATTTCAGAAAGCTTGCTGAAAGAAAAGGTGTAAAAAAACCTTTCAGACTGTATCAAAATAAGAGACATATGTTTGTGTTAGTAAGCTCTCAGCGTGATTTAGGAAAAATTTGGGAAGATAATAGAAAGTTTAGAGAAGTAAATTTGTATGTTGATGAGATGAGAGAAATGCAAAAGGAACAGGAAGTGGGTGATAAATGTGAGGTTGAGGATGACCTGAGTGAGGGAAGTAAGGGAGATGGTGGTGCTGTGAGCTTGGGTGAGGGAGTTAAGGGAGATGGTGGTGCTGTGAGCTTGGGTGAGGGAGTTAAGGGAGATGGTGGTGCTGTGAGCTTGGGTGAGGGGGTTAAGGGAGATGGTGGTGTTGTGAGCTTTGGTGAGGGGGATGAGGGAGATAGTACTGAGAGCTTGGGTGAGGGTAGTAAAGGAGACTTCTGTGATGAAGATGAGGGTCAGGGTAGTAAGGGAGAGTGTCTTGAAAGTAATGAATCCAGTGATGAACTTTATGATTGGGAGTATGATATGGGGGATGAAAAAGTAGATGATCAATTGTTTGATGAGAATGTTGATAATGATGTTGGTCAGAGTGAAAATGAACCTGAAAATGAAAATGAAACTGAAAATGAAAATGAAACTGAAAATCAGAATGAAAGTGAAGGGGATGAAGATGTGGTATACCAAGAGGAGTTAAATAGTGAAGATAGCTCTGATGAGGACAAAGTGAGTTATAAGTATCCTGTGTTTAATCCTAATGACTTGTATGAACCAAACTTCAAGATAGGTATGATGTTTGCCACAAAATCTGAGCTTAGGACAGCTATACATTCAAGTGCCATTAAGGCAAAAAGAACTGTGGTAATTAGCAAAAATGTGAAACAGTACCTTAGAGCTAAGTGTGGTGATAGTAACTGTTCATGGAAGATTAGTGCAGTTAGGGTGAAAAATGAGCAGACCTTTCAGGTTAGCAAGCATAACCCTAGGCACACTTGTGCAGTGACTGGAAAGGTAAAAAATTTGAAATCCACATGGTTAGCTGGGAAATATGCTGCTGTTTTTCAAGATGATCCTCAGAGGGCTGTTAAGGGATTTAGAAATCAAGCAGCAAGAGAGCTTAGGGTTCACATTTCTAAACAACAAGCATACAGAACCAAAATGCATGCCATTGCTGATAAAAAAGGTGAACCTAAAGAGCAGTATGCATTGTTGTGGGATTATTGTGAGGAGATTAGAAGAACAAATCCTGGTAGTACAGTTGTTCTGGATACAATTTCTGAAACTGGGAAGAGTGTGTTTAATAGATTGTATATTTGCTTGAATGCATTGAAGTTGGGATATAAGGCAGGTTGTAGGAAAGTGTTTGGTGTGGATGGTTGCCATCTGAAAGGTCCTAATAAGGGGGTTTTGCTTACTGCTGTTGGGGTTGACCCCAACAATGCACTTTTCCCATTGGCTTATGCTGTTAGTGTTGAAAATTTTGACAATTGGGAGTGGTTTTTTATTCTTTTGAAAAATGATTTGGAGATTGTCAATCAGCATGAATGGACCATCATTTCAGATAAGCAAAAAGGATTGATACAGGCTGCACAAGCTATTCTTCCAAATTGTGTTCACAGGTTCTGTGTTAGACATTTGATGGGAAATTTCAGAGATGCTGGCTTTAGGGGGATAGCATTTAAGAATGCTGTTTGGAGATGTGCAACAGCCACTACAGTGAATGAGTTCCACAGGAAAATGGGTGCAGTTAGACAATTGAGTGAAGATGCTTGGAGTTGGTTGTCTAAAAAACCACCACAAGAGTGGAGTAGGTCACACTTTAGTGTACTTCCTAAGTGTGACATACTTCTTAACAATGCTTGTGAGACATTCAACAGCAATATCCTTGAGGCTAGGGAACAACCAATTCTGTCAATGCTTGAGTCGATAATGGGGTATTTGATGAGGAGATTGCAGCAGAATAGGGATAGATGTGCAAAAAAATGGAACTTTTCATTGTGTCCCAAGATACAGGAAATCATAGATGCTCATATTGATAATTTGGTTGAATGCATCCCCCTCAAATCTGATGAGTATAATTTTCAAGTTGAATGTGTGAATGGTGATCAGTTTAAGGTGGATCTAAGGGCACAGAGCTGTGGGTGCAGAAAATGGGAATTGTCTGGAATCCCTTGTGTTCATGCATTGAGTGCAATTAATCTGCAAGGCTGGAGCATTGAAGATTTTGTAAACCCTTGCTACAAAACAGAGACATACAAGAGGGTGTATGAGCCTGCAATCATGCCTATTAATGGAAGGAAAGAATGGGCAGCAACTGCTTATCCTCCACCTGAGCCACCAAATGTTGGAAGATCAGCAGGAAGGCCAGGAAAGGCTAGGAGAATGGAACCTGATGAGGTTCTTTCTAGTGGGAGAAAAAGGCCAAGGGGTAAGCCTAGGGTTGTGACCAAGGAAAATACAATAAAGAGGCAACAAATGACAGTTAAGTGCAGCTTCTGTCAGAGGGAGGGTCACAATAAGAAAGGATGTCTTCTCTTGAAATCTCAAGGTCAACAAAGACCAGAAAAGTTAAAGGTAATAGTATAAAAAATTGTTGTTTAATGTCTTCATGTATTGTATAAGTTGATTCATGTTTTCATTTATATAAAGTTGATTCATATAAGTTTAAGTTTGTTCATTTTTTCAGACTAGAAAGAGGGGGAGTGATCTTGTCCCAGCAGTTGGAGTGTCAACACAAGAAAGCACAAGCAAAGTAAGTAGTCATCTTTCATGTTCTTTTAGTTTCAACTATTAATAGTCATGTTTACAAAATAACACAAACTGACCTTACTTATTCATGTTTTCAGACTAGAAAGAGGGTGGTTGATCCTGTACCAGCAGTTGGAGTGTCAACTCAACAAAGCACAACTAATGTAAGTAGTCATCTTTCAGGTTCTTTGACTTTCAACTATTAACAGTCATCTATACAAACTAACACAACCAAAACTTTCTTGTTAGGTTACAAACCAATCTGTACCTGTTGCTCCACCTGCCCCTGCCCCTGTTTTTCCTGCTACAACAAAGTGGTATAAATCTGCCCCTGCAACACAATCTGCACCTATTGCTCCACCTGTTCCCCCAACTGTTCCTCCACCTGCTCCTCAACCTGCTCCTGCTCTACCTGCCCCTGCCCCTGCAACACAATGGTTCAAAGCTGCCCCAACTCCTTACCAACAAATGCAGATGGGACATCCCACTAAAGGAGTGGTCATCAGAGGACCAGTACCATT